CATTAACACATACATCAACAACAGGCACACACACACACACATACACACACATTGTATATAACAAATAGAAATGAATTGAAAAACCAAATATTATGTTACGGTTAATTCATATCAATTCGATCCGTTCATTTCTCTTAAATGCCTTTCTTCTCTATCAAATTTCATTGTTTTAAATTAAACAGACTATTATTCATTCATTCTTCCTAAGAAATTTTCAATGTCTGTCATTGATTAAATACATTATTTCTGATTTTATTTTACATTAACTTTTTCTTTCTTCTTACAAACATAAATTTTCATATCACACAATAATTCTTTAAACTCTTTCATTGAACTCAATTTTAAAATTTTAAATTTCTCCAGTCATGTGTTTCCGACAGAACAAATGAATGGACGTGTGTGTGTGTGTGTGTGTGTGTGTGTGTGTGTGTGTGTGTGTCTGTTTCTGTTATTGATGTATGTGTTAATGATATCATACAAAATATAATGATTCCATGTTCATTTCATTACCATCAAAAAGAAATCGAAAATTTTGGATGTTTATTGGCGCAACGTTTAACTGTCATGACAACCTTTTGTCTCTTTTTCTCCCTCTTTCTCTCTCTCTCTCCTTTCAATTTTGATTTTAAATATATGTTTTATAATTATATGAGTAGAAAATTTTGAAATAGGAATTGCCATTTGTTAAATGTTATGATACTAATAATGCCTCTTTGAATTCTCTAATTAAAATTTGCAATTTTTTCTGATACATTGAGAAGAGTGACTGACTGACTTCTGTGCTATTTTGTTTAAATTAGCTTGCAATCATTTCTCAATTATTAAAATATCAAAAATCGAATGTTTGGATATAGGCCATTTTTACTGATACAAATCAAATGACTATTTCTATCAATGAGGAGGTATATGTTAGGTTTGCAAAAGATCTTATCATTCAGGTCATCCTGTAATTCCTAAATCAAATAGTTTTGTCCCTTATCCTCATCCGGTTTTAATCAACTATCGACTAGTAATTTCCTGACTGGCTTAACAATTCGCCTGCTTAGAAAGCTTTGTATTGCATTAATTGAATTGATAGGCTTTTTAAGTGATCTTTTGTTGATTGAAAATTATTTCTAAAGTAAAGTTAACATTCTCAAAAATTACTGTTACAAATTGGTTCGAATTTTATGGTTCTTCTTTTTCATTAAAACTTGAAAAGCTTTCTGCGTATAAGATTCTTAAAAATCTTACCTGTTCGGTAAGTACGAACTGCGTAACTTAATTCATTAAGCATTCGCTTATTAATTACTTTAATCTACTCGCACTGATTACACTAATGCTGGATTAAATTTTTCTAATATGGATAAATTAAAATAACCAACTAAAAAATTCAGTTCAATAGATTATGATTTCAAATTAAAATTTAAAAAAAGGATACGGTAGACTAATACTTTTGAATGAAATGAATTCTTCGAGAATTTAGATGTAATATAATAAAATGGAATAAATAAATGATCGTATACTATTTTAACTATTCTGTTGTACGAATTGTTTTTTTCTTTTCTAAAATATTGAAGATCGGTGGATAATCAGAAATAATTATTAATCCTTCAAATCTCTCTTCTCTCTTTCTCAAAACCTCATTTAACCTTTTTTTATCAAAAATTATTCATTTTGCAAAACGTAAAGAAAAAGAAAGTTTTTTTATGATTATGATGATGATGATGATGATGATATTTGTTTAATTTGTTGATGTCATCTGAATTTCTGAGATGTAAAAGAAAGCCCCAACTGAGTGATGTGATATGATGGAGGAATTACCCTCTCTCAATGATGTGATGTGATATGATGGAGGAATTACCCTCTCTGAATGGTGTGATATGATATGATGGAGGAATTACCCCTCTCTGTCAACTTTTTTCAAATCTTCAAAAAAAATTTTTTCCATTTTACTTGCTAAAATTTACGTTTCATTAGGGTCACAATATTTGCAGAAATTTTAATAAGAAACTCACAGGTAAGTAGAAGATTAATAAAGATAGTTTATTCTAGTGATAACCAGCAAACATTCTTATCTCTTAGTGTAGATTAAGCAAAAATTGCTTGATAATTGTTTATCTCTTTAGGGGGTGACTTTAAATGAAAAGTGGTGAATGAATCAGATAATCATTGATGTTGATTATTTATTATTGACGTTGATATGAGAATGGAATTGATAAAGAAACTATTTGTCTATTTAGAAACTGTTCCTTTATTTAGTTGTCTAATTTTCGGAATGATCCAAGATTATATTGGTGTAGGTGGTAAGGATTATCAGATGGTGATATTATGACAAGTGAAGAATGTTAAAAATTCATTGTCAAATTGTGACAGTTATGAAGTGCTTTAGATTTGTTATCGAAATTAGTCAAAACATATTTGCCTCTCTCTTCAGTGTTTTTTATCTTCCTGTTAATATCCGGCACACATTTTTTCCGCATTTCTTCTCAGCGATATTTTTGACACGCAAATTAATCAAAAAAGATGTGCGATAACAAAGAACTTTTTTTAATACAATCTAATAAGATATGCAAATTCTTTTTTCTCTGAATTTTCTTTCCATCTCTTTCTCTCTCTCTCTCTCTCTCTCTCTCCTAGAACACTTTCGTTGTTTCTTCCATTTGATCGTTGGAAAGTGAAGGAATATAAATAAATATTCTAACTTTCTTTTTAAAATTCTTCTTACACACAATTAATTTGTACACAATAATAATTTTATTTCAAATTTATTTAAACGATCTTAAATTCTTAAATTATCACTCCAATAAAAGTCAATAATAACAATATTATTGGGATTTTCCAATCTGACTGAGTGCATTTCAGATTCTAGTAATGGCCTTAATTCTGACAGTATGACTGCAGGCCTAATAGGAGGATTAGACGAGTTTATTCGTTGATCAGATGGTCAATAGTTAATTAGAGCTTATACCATTTAGCTTAGTGTTCTTTTGGCTTTTTGGCCTGTTTGAAATATAGGAAATATATATTATATATATTTTAGTGTAATTCGATACTATCTAATCTATTCTTAAATTATAAGACTATTGTTTTATTGCAGTGAAATATTTATGGTAAAAATGGTGAATTTAAACAAAGTTCAACTTTATTAGCATTCCTTCGATAAATAAGTTATTTATTATTACTTTTCAATTTTGAAATGAAATGAAGAAAGAAAGAGAATTATTATATATGCCAATGAAATGAAAGAGATGACATTCATCTCATCTGAAAGTTACTGTTTCCATTCCTACTGCCATCAATTTCAGACACAGTCTCTCTTCATTTATACCATAAATCAAGAAATATCGGGAAGCGTGTCATTTCTTTTAAAAAAATATTCCCTCCTCTTTCCTCCAAGCTATCTATCTGTTTTTCATCCTTCTCTTCCTTATTCATCCTAATTTTTAACCTCTTTTTAGAATTCATTTTAACGATAATTTAGAAATTGATAAGTTATGAAAATTTGATCTAATAAAACATTATAGTAATAAATGAATTATATCAATCGTTTCTTTCCACGTTTAATTATTCATTCAACCAATCGTTTTGTTTACTTATTTTTTCGATTAGTTTGTTTATTTATTTGAAAAATGAAATTTTATTGATTACTTCCTATTTTACAGTTGTAATTTAATATTAAAGTTAGCGAATAATGATTTTCTGCCCTTTTTTTGTCTATCCATTTGATAATCAAAACTTTCATTTTATTTTTCTCCTTCACTATCTTATCTTTTTATTCATATGAATAATTAAATTCATCGCATGCAATTAATCATCAATGTTTGAAAAGAAGAGGGAGTTGTACTATAAATACATATGAGGGCGCATATTTACATATATACATTGCCGCCCAATTCCAATAGTATGTCACTAATTTTAATCACATTTCTCGATTACCATAATTAATTATATTCGATTATTTCATGTGATAGAGTTAATGATTTTTATGATAAATAATAAATCACGAGAAAAGAGAAATGTAATTATATTATTATGGGAGATAGTATATCATGAAAGAAATGATGATTTCAATGGTACTATTCCACGATTCATTTATACTACAAAAATCAGATTCGACCTTCTTATTTTAGGTTTATCAATAAAATCATTAGATATATGAGAATTTAGGAAAAATCGAAATGTAAGAAATCTTAGCTGTGAGATCGTCTTTAACAAAGAATTGCCTTTTTGAACCTGTCGTAAAATAATATAACAGTTGAGATTTCTAGAGTAAACTGAATAAATAATTTAACTAAAAATAATTTTAATTTCAAATTAAAATATTTGCATTCTTCTTTTTTATCAGACAGATATATTTTATGTTACAATAATGAGCTACTGATATGGATATTATACTCTTTATAGCTTATCAAATAATATTTTCCTGGATTAAGATTAGTTAAGTTTATAAATCGCTTTTCGGGTGAAAATTTTATTTTATTTTGGAAAATATACTTCATATCATATCCTTTACTTATTTCAATTAATTTCATTTGTTTATTCATAGCAATTACGTTCTAACAATTTCACAATTTTTAAATTATGAATTTTGATGACCAAAATTTTACCGCTAAAGCAAATATCAATAGTATGTTGTGCATCATAACAAATAATATCAATTAATCTTCTGCAGCTTTAAAAATTTAAATATCATATCAAATTCCAATGCGCACTATAAGAAATTATCAGCGGCAGTTATTTGATTTGAACTGTTTTTAAATTTTTTTCAAAGAGGCGATGTGTTCATAAATAATTTTCCTTAAATTATAACACCTCTCTCTTTCCTCGTACATGAAATCTATGAGAAAAGCATTGAGATTACTTAATTGTATGAAAAGTTACTGATAGTCGTAGAAACATCTATCACATTTTAATCAGAATTTGAGGTAATTCCTCTATCTTTCATTGCATGATTGAATTTACTATGTTAATAAATGATAAACACTGGTAATTATCAATAAATTATTTCTAGAATTAGTATGAGCGTTCCGTTGTCCATGGGTCCTATGTTGCTGATGGAGAGTAGACAGACAAACGGTCCGATGTATCACGGTGCTCATTACATGCAACCTGGGCCACCACCAGCACCGCCACCACCATCAGTACCAAATGGTACTCATATTCCGCCCAATTTGATACAGTCGCATCATTCAGTGCATGGACAAGCTGCTCCATCTGGACAGCATATTATCACTTCTTCAATGAACAGGTCTCAAAGGTTGGCAATAAAGTGTATATTAACATATTTATAATGTAATGATTTTTTTATTTCTAATTATTTTAACGTTTTTTAAATTAATTTTAAAATAATTAAAATTATTGGCTTTTTCATAGCTTTTTCATAGCTACTGCATGACTCTTTATTTTGCAATTTACCAATTTAGATGTGGTGTATGTCGAGGCTGTCAATGCAAGCCATGTGGACAGTGCACTTATTGTCAAGATAGCCCACAATTTGGTGGCCCAGGTGTTAAGAAACAATCCTGTATCGAACGAAGGTGCTTACGCGTACTTGAAAATAGATTGCAGGTTTTCTAGTTCTTCTATGTTATTACTAATTTCCTCATGTATTCATTTACAAACCATTTCAAAAAAGGCAATTAATACCGTAATTTTTAATTTTAAAATTCAGTTATTAATTAATAACTTCATATCAAAATGCTCACTTTATATCGTATTAGTTGAATAAAATTAAAACATGTAATATTTTATCTAACAAGTTATGTTGTTAGCAAGCAAACATTTCTATTTCATTTTAATTTGTTATAGAGAGATGCGCCAACATTTAAAGCTCGTGTTGGATGTAATCAATGTGAAGATTGTCGGATGCCCGATTGTCAAATATGTCTTGTATGTCTTGACAAAAGGTTCATTCATTTATTTATTTTTAAATTATTAAAAAAGGTAATTGAATTTTTGTGAATTTTGAAACTTTCTATTAAAAAAAAATTCGAAAGTTATCGAAGATTTAGTTGATTTATTTTTGGTCGGTTTATCTGAAATATTTTTTAAGATTTTTCGATAATCGATATATGACTGGTGCAATGTGTGCTAAAAAACGTTGTAGTAATGCTACAAGCATAGAACTACCTTCTGCACAAAATGCTGAATTACGACAGGTAGATAAAATTACTTCTCTATCCTTAAGATGTATTTTATATTATGAATCTTGAACCCCCAAGTAGTACTGGCCTGGTCGTGTTAATAATAAACAGTAAATATTTCGTAGTGGGATATTCTGTTTCAATGCTTGAAGTGCACTTTGTTATTCATAGTAAGGTTGATAGTAAGAATAGTGTTGTACTGCCCTTCTTTGCCCACAGTTACGTTTACTATGACTATGTAAATAAGCAGTTAAGTGCTGTCAAAGTGCTGCAGGCTCATAAAAGAACATATGATCAGTCGGGAATGACGGATTATCAGATTATGAAGCGTCGTCCTCATCAAAGTTTGGAACAACTGGGACCCGCACAACAGCGCATTCTAAATATGCCAACACAAACGGTCCTGAATGGTCAAGGATGCGCAAATCCACCGAGTGCTACCGCTCTTTATGTTAATCAACAAATGCGTTTGGTATCCTCGCAATCCGGAACACCGCAACAGTTACTTATCATCCATCATCATCAGCAACAACAACATCCTGGGACTGCAGCTGTCGTTCCATGCAGTACTGCTACACGTGGTGCCGAAACTGCAGTTAATACCAGCCAAGGATCAGTACAAGTCGTAAACCCCAGTACATTATCTGGTACTAGCAATGGTACCATGCATGTGGCATCACAGTCACGACATGTATCACATCCTGCACCTCAATACGTTCAACAAATGCAAGCACAACATATTTCCCATCCATATCTGATTGTAGGAGCGGGATCTGGTGCTTCATACCTTCCGAGTTACGTTGAAGAACGTGTTGCACCTCAATCGGATCCATTCACACCACCAAGTTACGCACCAGAAATGAAAAATGTCGTTGTATTACAGCCCTTATGAATTGCTCCTTTTAATAGAGAATTTTGAAGGTTTGTAACAGAGTGTGGTACTTTTGCAGTAAATTTGAATTTGTTCTATTCAATTGCGCCAGAAGAAATTCTCTCGCATCATTAAAATTAGTTTTTTAATCAAGGGCATTTGCATATTCTTGCCGAGTTTCCCAGTGTTTCATTTCACAATTTATTTAAATTAATTTGATTTTTGAATGTTGTGATTCCATGCCTTCTCATTTCTCTCCTGCGACGTATTCCTTTTCAGTTTCTCACTTTATCATTTTATTCCGCACGTCCTTTTCTACCTTCATTTATTTCGCTGTAAAAGCGCACTTATCTCATATGTCCCAAAATGAATAATTTGAATGCGACCGCGTGGAGTCTGTTAAAATATATTGAAGTTACTCTAATGCTAAATAATACATAAATATGTATCGATTTGTTTTTGAGAGGATGTGGGTTTGAATTCAAACTGAATTTGCAAATTCTTATGCCTATTTTTGATCTCATCTCTTTATTTAAACCAATAAAATTTAAGAATATGAGAGAGTGGGTTGGGACTAAGAGCGAAATTTTTGATTCTTTTATTTCATCGTAGTGTCTTCTCATAAAAGTTCAATTCAAATGATTTTAAGTCATAAAACAGTTCCAGTGATCCCATATCAGACGCTGCCAATTTCATTTCTGGGATAACAATTTGCTTGTATTTTTAAGCACCAAAGGTCAACATCCTCGATAGGTTGTCTTCAGGTATATATTATCATCTGATAAGCTATTCATCTGTATAAACATCGTCAAAAATTCTATAAGATGGCTTACTGTAACAATCAATTCTAGGAAAAATGATAATCTTCACTATTTCTCACAAATGAATACTAATTTTGATCAGATAATTTGAATTAAAATAAGTGAGAGAAATAGAGTTACATCATCTTTACTGATATAAATGAATCATATATGATTTTCTACTATAATCCCTTCTTAATTTCTCGTCTCTCTTTAATCATAACAGTCACTTTAATCATTTCTATTTATTTCTTCGGTGTTCTATTGTCATGCATTCTTCTCATGTGAGGTCAGTGCCTTATCACCTATTATTGTTCCTCCTTTTCTTTTTTCAAAACTTAAGTAAACTTTGTATGTTTTCATTTCTATTAGCTTATTATTTTCATTTGAATCAAAAGCATTTCATATTTAAAAATCTTTTTTTTTGGTGCTCACCCATAATTAATCAATCATTAATAATGAATTTTCCACCCTAAGAATAAATCAAAAAGTTAGCGTTTAATTCATAGGAGGAACAAAATGAAAATCAACAATTTTTATTCTAATTTTTTCTTTTAAAGAAATATTCATAAAATTGCTCAAAGCATATTTGGACTATTAGAATAGTGGATGTTACTAGAAAGCTGTCACTGATTGAATTGCTCTCTAGAAATTCTGGTATTGTATTTTAAAAGGGAATTTAAGGAAAAGTACATTTGCTTTATAAATGGCAATGCATAATCATTTAGGACTTTGTTAGCCATATCATCCATCAGCTGATAGGAATGTAAAATGCATCATCCAACCCTTAAAATATTGGCGCATTGATAAGCTTCGCATCTCAAAGATCTTTGTGTATTTCCTGTAATAGTTCTCTCTCTCTCTCTTGCCTCCATTCCTTATCATTAAGTGCTCACTTAACATTTACTTTATGAAATGATGTCACGTCCACTCTCTTTTTCCATCAGCTATCTTCCAGCAAACTTTGGGTTTCATTTTCTTCTAAAACCGGAAGTCCTAGCAAAAATAGGACTTTTCCAATATTCTAAAATCCAAACAAGTCAAGAGTTAAAACTACACCTAAATAGTTCTCCCCAGAAAATAGTCAAATGGCTCCAAACTCCACGCTCCCACCATTCGGATATCCGAATATTGTCTCGGTATGTATCTACTTCAAGTGTTTCTACTTGAAATTTTATGTTTTCTAAGTTTCAAAAATTTTAATTCATCGAAATTAGACCGATTTTTTTTGGAGCAGTTATTTGTATTGTGTGTAATAAAAGAGCAATAAATGTGACCAATTTATTTGTTCCCATCTAACTTTGATAATACAACATATAATTAATGTTACACCGCACCGATATACGTTTACTTAAATATGTCTGCCACCGTAATATATAGCCGATTTTATTCGTTGGAAAAAATAATTTTCCATCGAATGAAGTTTAACATCTAAGCTTAAAATCTTTTTCTCCAAGAAAATGACGCTTGAAACTTGCTAGACATTATTATTCATGTGGAGCTTAAGGTTCGTTTGTGCACATTTCTGTAATTGGAGGCACAACCTATTGGAGTCTCAATTGTTGTACATTAATGATTAATCAACATATCAGGAGAATGTGGATGATATTTATGCAAACGCTGTTAAAATCTACAACAAAAAAAACACTTTAAAACTAAATCATCACTGCCTGCAGAACGTTTAGCGCATCAAAACATAATTTTAGGGAATGTTTTTTCCCATGAAAATCCGTAACTAGTAAATTATGAACCTTTGCCGACTATTAATATCAGAAATACTGGAAGAAATATTCCTGTGGAAAGGATGCTAAAGAGATAATAAAGTCGAAAGTTAGATACTCATCCAACCAAAACACCAAAGAGAGAATTAAATAGATCAATTCCTCTTAGAAAGCCGAGATTGAAAATATTAACCAAAAACAATTCGTGATTTTGAAAAAGACATCGAAAAAATTTGCATTCACTTTCTCTCTTCACTCCACACTCAAACATTTAATCAGAATAAAGCGAAGGGATATCTTTCACAATCAGATATAATCACAAAAACAAAAGACATTAAGAAAAAACTGCACTGCAAAGATTTTAAATCGGACTAAAAGAACTAAAAGTGAAGAAATATCAGATAGAAGCACAAGCTCTAGAACATCTATCGTTTACTAGCCATTTTCACTAAAAGCATTAGTTTGAAAAACTGCAAAAATTCCACGAGTTTGAATTCTGTCTCAATAATTTCTGAAATACCATAAAATTCAAAGTTTGCAATCTATAAAAAGTAAACCAGTCCAAGGAGTGATTTGTCGTAAGCTGATAATTGTCCATATTTATGTTGTTTTTCTTGAAGGCTGAACTTTCGAAATGATCCAAATGTTTTCCGTATTCATCTTCATAATGCGCTTTTATTCTCTATTTTTACCGAAGTCTTGAAAAAACAGTTTCCATTGAAAAACAGAATAATGTCCAGCAAGAGTGATGGATAAAGATATTAATATAGTTCGTATTCATTTGTCAATATGCGGCAATGTGTTGTGAAGTTTCCATCTATTAGAAGTAAAAACTGAAATTTGAAGCAGAAGAAAACATTAAAAATGCTTACTTCATCAACTTTACTTTGATAACTTTGCGGGAATTTAGTTTTTCCGTATAACTTAATGTTGTTTTTACATGTTTTATCGAGCTCATTCTCCAGACATTTATTGGTTTGCTTCTGAGCGATAAGATCTATTCCAGTCGAAAGACTGATGAAGTCTAATGAAGTTGGTCACGTTGAATTAATGAATTAATATTATTTATAACATGTCTTTGCTCGCCTTTCCTGCTTCACTGGTACTACTAATTCTTTGACCAACATCTTCATCATGAAAATTCACTGATGTTAAAGCCTGTTTCGTTAGCGTCCACTTCTTTATATGTTCATTTCATACGTAACATATCAAGGTTTGCTGAAAGACAACAAATTTGGTAAACAGAATGCAAACGGAATTTTTGAACGAAAGAAATTTTCTATTGAATTTCTATGTTGCTGTGAAAAATTCCATTATAGGAATACTAGAAATATTACATCCATCCGTAATCTAAGTTGAAACAGTAAGCAAGCCCAATAAATCAGCCTCCAAACTTACAATCGGCTCACGCTTTCGGACCATCGCCGTCTCAAGCTCATCACGAGCATTCTCCGCCGCTGTCAACTGTTCTGCAAAGTAGCACGCAGCATTAATAATCTATTGATAATCCAAATTACAAAAACTCGAAAAGCCCAGTTTCAAGGAAACTCGATACCTGACATCATTCGTGCGATGTAACTTTTCAATAGGAAAAAAAATGAGCAAGCAACAATGCTAGGGTAACACGACCATACAGAAGAGACAAAAAATATAAATTTCAATTATACCAAAATTCGCTTTTAATCGAACTTCACCATAGTTCTACATGAATTTGACACAGTTGCAATACATGTTATCGTTATTTTCAAAGATATTAAACTGCAAGTTTTGAGATAGCATTTCTGGACTGAAAAACAAAAATAGAAAACTTTAGAGAAAAAATTTTTGGGAGCAAAAGACAACAAAGAAACTGAAGTAACAAAACTTGCAGGGCCTGAATAAAGAAAGGATTGAAAAAATTTGGAAATTGGAAGAACTTATACCATCAGTCATAAACGCTGATTAGAGATAAAAGGCAAAAGAGAATTTCTTCATTAAATACGTGACAGTGAATAACATTCGAATTCCAAGTGAGGAGGGTAAAGTATCGCAACTATAACAAATTTTGAATCACATAACTCGAACTACTTTAAAATATTCAAGAAAACTTCAAGCTTCGTAAAAAATCAAAAACTTGGGAACTTTAGATAATTATTCACAAATAGAAATAAGCTTCGAGAGCATATTGTACGAATAAGTGTGAAAGATGATGAGATCAAATTTTCGAAACAAAAACAAAAAGTAGAGATTCTAGGTGAAAACAACCAAACACATTAAGAGGCTCATAAATATATCGACGAAAAACAAAGTACAAGTAATGAAGTAGAGATCACCTTCACTAAAACTCCTGAAATAAAATTAAAAGGAAAAAATACACAACGAAAAATAATTACTGACAGCTATGAATAATCAGTTAACGAATATAGCGACAAGAAAAGCTGATTCTTGGGAACATAAATGATGGCGGTTTGAAAAGAAATCCATTTGCTAGCTCAAATCCGATCTAGATATAGCTAAATAACACATTAATGCTAAAGTCTGTTTCGGTAAACTTTCAATTTTTTTTCAACTTTAGACCAACTGAATTGGACGACATGAAATGAACATCGTATTATCAGCAATTATATATTTTATGAAAGAATTAAGAGAGTAGATAAGAAGACAGATATCGTATAATTCACAAATTTTCTCCCTGCCGCTAATCCATGTGGCAGCAGTAAAACGTTCTATATACTATGAACAAGATTTTTCGACAACTGCGAAGATATAAATTAAAAAACTGGGCAGCATAAAAAATCCTTTCTGAAAAAAAGTTCTTTCCAACCCGTTAACAATACTTCAAATAAAAATTCTGTGCTCGAAACTAAATAAATTACAACTGCTTGGCAGCATTGAGTTTTTGAATCCGTTCAATTGCTTTATCAAGAGAACTGTTTTTGGTAACTGTGCTTCTAGTTAAATTATTATTGCTGCTTGATGATACCATTGTTGGTGACCAGTGATACGGTTTCGATTCCAATTTCATTAATTCCGCAAGATCCTATAATTGGAGATTTTTGCGAATAAAGTCTATTATCAAATCATCAAATGGTGAAGATCAAACCACCAAGGTGTGAGAATTTCTCATGTTTTCAAACAAATGCATAATATTTGTATCCAAAAAAAAATTAATGGCATAATTTTCAAACACTGTATATTTTTTAAAGGTGGGCGTATAACTCTTACAACATTTTCAGCGGTTTTCTCAAAGACATTAAGAAAAAAGTTCTATTCCACCAGGATTACTTAAATATAAGAAAGAGAATAACCTGCTTCCACCGACCATTGTTATTTTTTCCATTTGCTGAATTTCTCTTCTGACCGTTGTCACTACTTGGAAGATTCTCAGCTCTCAAACTTGCCTGCAATTTAGATCGTGGAAGAAGTTTAAGGCAAAAGAAAATGCAGCCACAGATTTACAATCTTAAGTGATTTTAATAAGTCCCATATAAACCTTTTGTCGAGTTCGATAATTATGGAACCAATTGCTCACAGTCCTAGTACTCAATGAAAGAGTTTGGGAGAGCTGCTCGACTGTTCGTTGGTTCGGATGCTGGTCACGTTCAAAAACATGCTTCAATGCTTCTTTTTGCTGATCCGTAATAACTGTTCTCTATAATAGAACAAAAGGAATTATCTTTCAAACTTGGTGGCGATAGTTTCAAAAATCCAAAAACCAACATTTTTCAACATAAATTGAAATGTTGGTGAAGTTTCAATCGTCACCTCAATCGATCAATCCTCTATGCTAGAATAACGCTGATTTTTTGTTGAAAAAGAAAATGAAAATTAAAACCTGTGCTTTCTTCGGCAACTCGCCAGCAGCAGTTGTGTTAACAATTGCTTTTCTCTTCTGCGGTGACAGAGTTTTTGTCAAAGCACCTGTAGAAGTCAATGTATCTACCACACTTGAAAAAGCTGGTGTGAGAGATGAAGACAGCAACGCAGTGGAAGCAGATGTCTCTTGTATTCTTCTATTCTCATCTAATTCACCGAGCCATTCACTCATCTTGAGATACAAATCACGAGCACGTGGAGACAATTGCTCCCAACTTTTTGGTTTGGCCAAAAGCTCTGATACGCCACCTGGACTTACTCCCAGTACAACATCACCAAATGTCTATAAATGAGAATAAATTAAACGGTATTAGAGACAAAATCAGGAATACATTCAATCTAAAAATGGATATGTTTTTGGTTTAGAATAAAAGACTTTCTACACGATATAAGGAAATAATAATAAGATGAGACAAATAAAACAATGGCATGACTTCTACAGTATTATATCTCCTTCTGATATCTTGATTTTTATGAGCTTCGACGAAGAAGTGGCAGAATAACTTCAGAAAAGCACTAAATTAAAGAATTAAATAGTGGAGAAAAAACCTAAGAAATAATGGAAAAAGTTTTAACTTAAAACGCTGACTGAATAGATGCATTATTTTGGTAGGCCAGAATCAAAAGAATCTTATAATATTTACATGAAGAATAAAAACAGACTTTCTGAGAAATCCCACTGCTATGCAAACGATTCTTGACTTGCCGCGCAATCTCACTTGTATCAGCCATTAACAGATCTTCTTTCATATTCCGCATCACTTTCTTGTCACCATCACCCAATACGGACACTTTCTTAATTTCACGCGCTTTTTCGGTACGACACTTTATAGTCTACAGTAAAATAAATATCACAAAAATAAGAATTTTTAGGCATTTCAAGACTCAGTTCACAATTTGTTCATTGCTGAGATAAATCGATCTCATCAGAAAATTTTTTTCACCCTAGAGCTGGGGTTTAGCAATGTGAAGAGCTACCATCAAAAGCGAGCTCATATCAAGCAAGATAATTAGTTTTAATACATAATTGTTTAGATTGAAATGAAAATCGCGTTGTCACTTCAAAAATACATTTTAAAAATGCGATTTTGTTCGTCAACCCCAATTATTTATTTATATGCAGTGAAAATTAACTTCGTGATCAATTTCCCCACTTAAAGGGAAGCTCCGCATGCTTAGCAAACCGCTAATCAAATTTTGTTTTGCACCATTGTTTGTTTCATTCCTGGGCACCATTTCTGAAGACTGAACTGCACCAAACTTCCCATTCAGCTCTGCAAAAAAATATTTTCATATTACGAAAACTCTAAAATGACTGAAAAATATCAAAACAGTTATTTTTTGCGTGACACAACATTTATAAAACCTGTGCATTGATTTTGGTCTCTTGAAAACAAAAACGGCGAAAAATGCACCAGTACCTTCAGGTTTACAAACCAAAGACTGCGCTTCATTTAAGAAAAGCTGCATGCGCACAAATGGTTCCCGCCCTTTCTGCGTCAACATAGCCCACGGTTTAGGCCTTGCTAAAAGATCCGAAACAGATCCTTGCGAAAGACCAAGCACATGTTCACCGAACTGACGCTGAGATATCGAATTTAAGCAAAGGAAATCTTTGATCTGTAAACAAAAATACCAGCCAAGTATAATACTTTCAAAAAACAGATATCGAGAAAAAAATGTTTCACGTCAAGCATGGAAGAACAAGCAAGTAACGCTGGAAAATTACTTGTCTCACGATATCTTCCGTATCCAATACTGGATAACGTTCAAGCTCCTCCTGCGTTATGGACGCCATTCCACTACGACATTTCAAAGCAAACAAAGCCTGAGCAGAATTTACGGGAAAATTTGATTGTGGAGGTGAACTGGTATCTCTTGTTGATCCACAACGAGAGGATGATGATGATAACGAAGATGATTTATTCGATGTTTCCATTATTGCAAGCTATGAAAAAGTGTACTGGAGATATGTCGATTAAGTATGTGAAACCTTTTTAACTATACAGTTAAGTATAATCTCCAGCGTTATGATGCTGAAAGGTCATACTTAACTGTTCACTAAAAATTTATTGAAATAAAAAGACCACGATTGTAATAGGATAATTTTTTTCTTTAGTTCTCATTTGCTTTCCTTTCAGTGCTCTTTCGTTTCAGATTAATTAGTCTTTGAAATTACGAAGTTCACTATAACTGAAAAAATTGCTTCGAACAACAGAAAGAAAACAGAAAATAATATAGTTTACCTTTTCATCCTTACTTCTTACACTTAAAGGCCGTGAACCAATTGCCTGTTCTAGATGAGACTCCTGAAACCCGGCAACTCCTATTTCCGAAAACAATATATATTGAAAACATGCACGGTCACTGCATTCTTCATCACGCTACAGATAACTTATAAACTCGATTACTGAAATCTGAAACTTTGTAATAAAATTAGGAAAACTTACTTGCTCCCTTAACAATGCCAATTCACGTTTGTATATCTTCATAATTTTTTCTTTCGGTATGTCATCATGTCGCCAGCGACTTGTACGTTGTACAACTGAGTTAGTGCTACTACCAGCAGCTGCAGTTGACAACCTATCACGCTGTTTCAACTAAAAATGCAGACATTGAACCAACGACATCTTATCTTTAATTGATTCTGATTTACCGAAATTTTGTGGTCTCAAACTTTCAAACTGGCAGGAAAGTTTCTCCAAATATCTAATTAAACTTACATCGCTTGAAGTGACTCGCGAGGACTGTTTTTGTACAAATAAATCTAGGGCATCGTCTGCATTATATTTGGATACAGCAGCCAACGAAACAGCCTGCTGATCCCATAAAATTTCACGCGATGGTACTTCAATCTCGATTAATCCTAATGTATGCATAATAAAACAATTCGTTTAGACTTAAATTTATAATGATGAAAGAGAAAATTTATATTAGTGTAAATGCATGAAGGTATAAACGATAGAGATCCTAACCCACTGGTTGAGTCCGACGGGGTGAAATATTACACAGTAATTCAATAGCTTTAGGATCTGAAACCCAGCCATACATGCGTCGAAATGCCTCTCGCCCTTTGTCGGTGAGTTTATTCCAATGCCTTGGTTTTGATAATAATTCACTCAGTGAGCCTTGTGACTGCAAAAGATTTGTGTCCATTTACAAGTACAAATATTCACTGCGATTAGTAAAACCTTAATCCAGAAACAACAAATCTCCAAAAAATAATTGCGGAATTTCAATTATATCTAAATTCAGTAACATGCAAATAAACTTATTTTCGCAAGAAAAGATGTAAAATTTAATCAGAAATTAATTCAAGAAATCGAAGTGAAAAACAGAATCAAATACCTTGACTACCTGGTTCATAACGTACTTCGCGAATAACCGCTGCCCAATGTTGTGGGTGACCATTAAATGCTTGCACTGCTTCGCAATTTCCGTTGTATTCAAAGCCTTTGGACCTAATTCGTGGATATTTCTGGTAACAATGTCCTGCAACATTCAGTCAATTCATAGAAATAAATATAGTAATTTACCATTAATCCAACATCATTGGTATATAGTAATTTTGGTTCAATTTATTTATTTGATTACATAATTGGGGAAGCCATTATGAAGTCTGTTTTCTCAGCAAATAAACACTAAGTTAACAGTAACTATTTTATTTCATATATTTCCTGATCAACACTTGAATATCACACCAATTAAATCAAATCGATAAACACTGGTTCCACAAATATAATCCAATATTTGTATAATATGTCGCAATAATTTTAATACATACTTCAGTTATCAATTGAAATTTGTACTTATCTTCTAAACTTCTAAAATACATCAAAAAAAACTAAAGAAGAAAAGAAAAAATCAAACCTGCAGTTCATTATAAGCCCTGAGTTCAGCAGATGTGCGAGGTAGCTCGTGTAAACTGGACGTACTCGCTGAATAATAATTTTCTGGTTTCGGGGTATCATTTGATGAACTGGCGGAGCACTAAAGCAAATCATAATAAATGAACGCTTTTTTCTTTTCTTGATCTAGTACTCTTAAACACTAGTATCTTAATTGATTGTGCAGTATTTCCACAGCATTAGATGAAGTATCTTTAAATGATTTGTAATTAACATGAAGGAATGGTTTACATTAAAAGTCGAGAATTCACATTTACCATAAATAAATTAAGGAGATTCGTGGCACGATGTGGATCACTTTCTAAGTCCAAATCACCATTGATTTCCATCGATTTTTGCCCGCTCTGAAAAGAATGATCACGCTTCGACGACCATTTATTTTGGACTAGAAGCACGAGAAATGTTTTGTTTCTAGAAATGTGGGAAATAGCAGTTATGTCTTATACAAATATATCAAAAGAAATGCCTCATCAAAATATGAACCTAAATATATTCAAATGATTATGTGTTTGATGGACATAATCAAATAATTAATTAAGAAATTAATCCAAAACCATACCTTATCTGAGAATAAATCGGCAAGTGTACTATTACTGAAGCTGGCGTCTGCTAAGCGGAAAACATCCGACAAGTTATTTCCATCTATCGCTTGTTCCTCTAAAAGGCTGTGATTGTTATTTTAAGCTGGGTAGAAGATAAGGTGCTTTTCTCGCACCCAATACTCCAAAAAAGAAAAATGCAGAAAATTTTGGAAAAATTGCATATAGAATAAACATGAAGCGTTTAATATTCAGTGCTGAGAGGAAAAAGAGTAGTTAAGAGCATCAGTCTTCAAACGATACTTTTTTAATCTTCCAGATAATGCACCAAATCCTTCAACTGTCCAATATTCTTTTTGCATTGCCATACAAATAAACTGTATTTCTTTTTTTGGACTTTTTTTGTATCGTAAAATCCTCTCATCCTATTCCATGAAACACGCGGAATGTAAAACATTAATGTCCATAAGATCACAATACAGACATGCGACAAAAAACTATCGTGATAAGTGAAACAGATAGTGAAGACACTGTCTTTGCAAAATAAAAAAAATGAATCGGAAACATATGACAAGCATGCAACATTGAATCACTTGGATTGTTATCTCCTAATATCTATCATTAATTTTTCCAGTCTCCCGAACATCGCGCTATTTTTATTCTCTGTTTATTTCAAATGAAACCTATTCTTGACTTTCATTATATCTTTGTTAATATAGTGCTAATGCCTCCTGCTATAGTTCATGGCACCAGTACCCAAAAAATATATATATGTAAATACTTAAAATATGATCAAATGCGCCTATCCATTACATCTACTAATTAAATCAGTTCTTCCCTCGAAAATTTTCACTTATACATTCACATTCGAGAACTATTAAATCAATAAGCAAACCTTCAAGTTTTTGATTGGGCATTCGCAACCCTACATTTTCGCTCTGCAATTTACGATTTTTTCCAACAAGCAATTCATCGAGTGCCTTCGAACGACCACCCAACTGCACTTCGGCTGTTGCTGTCGCAGTAGCAGTAACACCATTGCTCACGAAACCTGTTCCTGTTCCTTCTTCAATAGCTTCTCCAAACTCAAAGCTACGTAGAATCCTAAACAAAGAAATAATCTACCAAAAATTTTTCAACAAAATTATTTAAATTTATATTACTCCAATATCTGAAATCTTTCCCCAGTATCTCAAAATGTGTCCTCTACATACCATGTTCATAAGTTATAGAGTATGTTTTTTGAGATACTGTTTTCTATGATTTCCAGATCTAACTTTTCGAAATAATGCATACCTCAAATCCTTTTTATTATCTTCATAATCAGATTGAGCCTCTAGTTGCGCTCGTAGCTGCGCTACGATCACCACATGACGCTCCAATTCTTGGGTTAACTCATTGATACGTTTATTCGATTCCGTTTTTAAGTGGATAAGCTTGAAGTTCAGTTTCTTGTTTTCTTCCAATAGTTTATGAATCTGCAAAATATTCCTTCAGCAAAATGTCCATAAGAAATTTGAGGCAAAAACAGAATTTTCAGAACAAAATAACCTGACTATCTTTCGAATGAATTAAAGAAATGTCTCCAAGTGCTTCCTCATTTGGACAGGAGCTAACATGGCTTATGCGCTCTAATTCACTTTGCAAACATTGCACTTTCTTCTCCGCTTCTACCTGAAAAACTATGAATAGTTAATTTTTCAAAAAAAGCAACAAAAGAGTTCCATGACTTACGAAACAAAAAGAAACATTTCCTTCTCTAGTTGCATCTAATTTAATAATGATACAATGGCTTCATCCGCCCAACAAAAAGAAGGTCGTATATGTGAGCATTATGCAAACTAAAGTGTTGATAGTGAAAATTTATGCCATACTAACAGCTCTCTCCAAGGCATTTTCGAGATCATTCGTAACAATTTCCAATTTTTCATCATTTAAAGCCTCTTTCTTTATCAACTGCAGCTTTGTCTCCTCAAGCACCCGACCAGTTTCTTTGTTCTTCATCTAAAATGAAATTGCCCGAAATCACATAGGCATTCGTAATATTTGATGAAAACATACCGTCAAATCTGCAACAACATCTGAAAGCGCTTTATTTTCAGCAGTGACTTGTTCTCGCTTTTCAGCAACTTCTCTTTCAAATGTCTCCATTTTGACGTGTAATTCTTTTTCTTTTTCATTTATAGCAGCCTGCAGTAACATATTTTTACATTATACTTCAATCAAACTTTATTTCATACTGAGAAACACCTGTTTTAGTTACCTACCGAGCAAAAAATAGCTGATACAGGAAGACCAATTAAGCTGGGGATAATTCAGCATCAAGCATCAAGAACAGCACTGGCGTGGTATCAATGAATCTGAGGAGAGGTATGATCCTCAACTCCTGGAGTTATTTGCGATCAAAATCCAATATCTTTAAACAAACCTGGATATTACTATTTGTTTTAGCTTCCATTTCTTCCACCCGTTCTCTCAGTTGTCGAACGGTTAGATCTGAAGATAATACTTAATACGAAACTTAAAATTAATTTTCCAAGAAATAAAGAGGACCATGGCATGTGTCAAATTCCAGTGAAAGTATTAAACATCAAGATTACTTGTATTAGTGTCGTCAATATACTGAAATGTTAACTTATGCCAAGTACAATTTACCTGAAATAGCTATTCCTGGCATATGGGTTTTCATTCAGGATTAATTAACCTTCCGCTCAAAAGCAGTCATTCTCATAACACTCAAAGACCTCAAAATCCACCAAGCAGATTTATGCAGCATCAAATTTTCGCGGGACAAAAGCGAGCTAACTTCTTTTTTTTAATATTTTCGAAGACTTGAAAAGTATAAAGCGGATTTAATAATTTAGTAAGAACATACCCTGATTTCGCAAATCACCATATTCTTCTTGTAATTCATTTAGCTGTTTAGTCAGATTCCTAACTTGCTCATCAACAGAATATAACCGTACCAATTCCCCTAGCAATGTTGAAACCTGCTCCAAATATGGAGAAGGATCTGTAAAAATATAACAGGCATTAGAGTAAGCGAATATATATTAAAAAATGAGAAGAATCCGCAAAAACGTAAATGTTTTCTATATTTTGATCAAAATCTGACTGCCAAAGTCTGACTTCATTGATTCAAAAAAAATGCAGTAGAATCAAAAAATGAGACATAAAAGGAAATGAGAGTCAAAGACAGACAAGACGACAAACCATTGGTTTCATGATGACATTTAGAGTTAATCAATAAGCAACCTTGGATCACGGCTCAAGTAGGACTGCAGGCCGATTGCAAGGAATATAAGTGTGGTGATGAGCAGACAAGCGCAAGCTTACATGTGTCTCAGGAATTCGATTGCCGATACGACGATTGCCGAGGACAGAACTCCTATCGACTAAGCGCTGCTCACTAACTGACTAGGTGACTGGATGCAGAAAATCGAACCCAAAAATAAACGATTTCCAGGGGATAAATGAAATAATGGAGCGATTGACGGTCGATTCAATATGATGTGAATGCGATGGACGGAAGGATAGATGGAACGCTTCAAACGCAAATAATCGATGCGATTGCGCGAGCACCCACAAAGCTAAGCTAGACAGCCTTGTAAAAGCAACTTACTGCTTACTAGAGCAATGATCAACGCTTGACACAGACTCAGCTCAGCCAAGCCTACCTCTGCTAACTACGAGATGCTAACATATACTGAGCAATAATTCACACGCTTCTCGAAAGTTCATTCAATATCAAGCCTTCCCATGCTTATTCGGATTTAAGATGATCCTAATCACGATGTCGAAGTGATTCCGATTTCTTTGTGTGGCCTATGAAAAGATGAATAAAAATCAACTGTAACGCAATAAGAGGAAAGGCTTTCCATAATATTCATACAATATGCATCTACGATGTGATTAAGCTGATGTTCTAATGATCATTGCATTGCGCGGCCATTGGTGGCCAGAAAACCCGAGCTAAACATTTCAAAAAATATAAAAAAAAGACTAAATGCTGTTTGGCTGTTGATGGTTTGAACCTATTCTAAGAACAACAAATTACAACATACATTAGATCGATATAGATGGAAAATAAAGAGAAAAAAAAATATAACTAATTTTGTTCTATTGATAAAAATTTTTTTTACCGCAAACAGATGTGAATGCCCGGCAAACAAAGATTAAACCAGCTTCTGCTGCTTTTGCTCTTTCTGTAACCCGATCATATTCCTTCTGGAACGCTTTAATCAACGGCGAAACAGCTTTGCGTGACTGCTAAGAAAACAATTTCAGGTATAGAAAAGAACATTTATAAATACAGCCTTGATCTTGTATCAAACAGAGAGCTTCAAACCAACATGTGCTCCACATTTAGGAGTAAGTAACCATTTTTTATCTCTTATATCCATTTGATTTAGATCTTGTAAGCATAATATTAATACATCCAACTAATAACAACATAAAAACATTTGTCCAATTTTTTAAGATAATGTTATGCACTGGTTTCTTTTTTTATTGAATACATTCCCTTCACTACCGCGATAATGAGACATCTGATTGAGTAAGGTCAGTTAAATACGCTTACATACTTTACGCCATATTGAAAGGTGAAATCTTCAAATTATATCAGTGTGAACTAAACGGTGATTGGGGCTTATCACAGGCCAATATGACAATTATCGTGATATCACGAATTCAATATCTGCCTAACATTCCGTATCATGAATGAAGAACAATTATTAACTGACAAATAAGTGAACATCGATTTTTAAAAAACTATCTACGAGCGAGGAAAATGACATCACTCTTTGTGCCATACTATTACTAATCGCGTCTCAAAAGAATTCCCACTATTTTATCATGAATTTGATGCTGACAATTAAAGTAAAATAAAACTGCATGAGGATTCCATTGCACAATGTCACGTATAAAACTATAAGAAACTGGTTACTTGCCTTATCAGCACAATCATAATAATTTTTGCTTTCAGTAATTAACTGCTGGCGAGCTACACTGCACTGATTTTTTCTCACATCAATTGCCTGTACTTCTTCGTTTAATTTCTTCTGCAAAAGTCGCTAAAAAAGAAAAGTTTATAAAAATACCCTTATCGATCAACGTTTTCTATGAAAAGGTTAGGATTAAGGATGAGGGGGTATCATTAACGATAAACATTTTTCTTCCCCTCTTTTTGATCCGATTCTGGTTTATCTTAGAATCCTCCGCTTGTCTCTACGAGCTGAGGATTCTAAGATAAATTAGAATCGGACAAAAAGAGAGGAAGAAAAATAAAATATCGAGTACAAAAACCTCGCTTTTTAATTTACTTCGAAAAAGATATACTACAGCATTTATTGTTACTACGAAAAAAATATGCTATCGTATACTAAATCATGAAGTTTAACTTCATCATCAAATACAAGTTTGAAATAACTACTAAAAAATTATATGATAATAAATGGTAGTATTTATAAATGCAGTATTCTGACAAACGAATTCGAAACTTCTATGAGATCATCGGATCATCTTTTGTTCTGTATACTAATAAATTCAAACTATTTTATAATGATTCAGATTACTTTATGCATGAATAAATGATCAATGCCGAAAAATAGCAATTAAAATATGCCAAAATTAGTAAGTAATATGTATAAATGTTAACAGACACAATTATGTGAAGTATTGCAGCCATTTTATAGTTCAAAAGGCTAAAAAGAAGGAAAGAGGATAAAATGATCAGTAAACTGCATCTACTGAACTCTAAACAGCAGAATAAGCCAGTGGTCTGAGCTAAGTTGTGTGCAGCTGAGATGCGTTTACTCAGTCAGTTAGTTAACAACCATTTCAGTAAGTATGGTTTTGGAGCCTCATCGAAAATCGATCTGCCAGATGGGCTTTCCTTTCCCGGCAACAACAGCATGATTTGATTCTACGACAAAATAACATTCCTTTTCATCCACCATTCAGACTTTACATTTCAAACTCCGTGTTGACCACCGACTGAATTGAACCTCTTCGAGCACATGCATAAACAGACACACACATATACATACACACATACACACACGTATATATATATACACATATATCCACGGACACACAGATACACACGTCCATCAGTAAACAAATCAATTTACTGATATTGATTTATCTGACATGAGCTCAACAATTCACGACCCAATAGGTAATACTCCAGAGACTACTTCAATATGAGAACAGCTCATGCTCCTCCGATAATAAATGCATGAGCCTTTGATGGAATTTTTCCAAACATATCTTTTACTGAACAAGCAAGAATAGATGAAAATGTTAAACAATGAAATAAATGATCCTCATGATGCACACCATTTGCGGTGAAGGGATGAAAGATGAGAAAGCTGTCCCTGATACGAAACGAATTTCGTACAACAAGCCAAGTCATAAGTTGTTCGCAAGATAGGCATTTGCAACTATACTTTCATAATACAAAAAGTTTGCATGATCTTTTCCCAAATGTTTACAATGAGGAAGAGTTGGTAAACATAAAAAATTTTAGAAATGTCTCCTTATGATTTGATGGGTTATTCAACCAGCTATGTTTTGCCCGCTGACCTTTCTCTTTTTGTGCAATTCCAAATCGGTTAGTCATTACATTCGCCGATTACAATTTTTGACCTACGCATCTTTTCATATCTATTCGAGAAGGACTTGATAGTAAGGATGAATACAGTGGAAGTAGGATTTGATGAAGGATGAATGCAGTTGAAATCGAAAACCATGGGAGGAAAAGTAAACACAATGTGATGAAGGCCTTTCTATTATCCTACTTCTTATTTGACTTATTCATTAATACTGAAAGAGATAATATATTACAAAGATTAATCAGCAGTGAAAGAACGAAAAGCTGAAATGTTATTTCAATTTCCTCAGCTGCAAGGTCCGTCTAAGCAGCACTGTACCTGCAAGTGCTCGAAATTGATCTGTGACCATCTCTTCGCCACATTTTCCACTTCCTTCACATTTTGTGGATCTATGGCCATATCACTTTCTAAAGAAACAATAGCTTTACTCACCGTCTGAAATATTGCTCTTTGAAAAAAAAGAAGAAAAGAAACTGACCACAGCAAATTCGAAAATGCTTTCGGAATTTGAGGGAACAGTTAGATTTCTATATTTTCCGCTTTAGTCATATATACTGAATGTAAATTAAAATATCATAAAATTCAATAGAGGGAGTGAAATGCTTCGCTAGTAATTTTTGAACAAGCAATTTTTTAAAGCCTGATAAATTACAAAATCCGCTTGAAATGTCAAACAGATCAGAACACTGTACAGGAATGTCATTCCCTTCGCACAACATTATCGCAATTACAAAAAACCGCTGTCCTATGCAATTTCCGGGATGTTATAACTATGTATTCCAATGGTTCTAATTTATATCGATTATTTAATCAACTATTCAAAAGACATAGTCCACATAAATTATAACTTAAAGAACCACTATATTTGGATTTGGTGGTCCTCTCAAACCTCCACATCAACACCAGCACTACTGTCGGTAATGTAACTTTGGTATCGACATTTGCCCTCCATTTATGGATATGGGAAAACTGAAGAAAATTCTAAAAAGCTTTAACCAACAAAGTTAGCCAGTTAGACCTCCAACTCATATTTCAATATAGAATAGAAAAATCTACAACGGCACACAAAGGTACCACGTTGCCGTAAACCACTGTGGCATCGGCGACGTGCCAACAACTACTAGCGAAACTTCCTTGATCAACCGATCAATATGTGTGCAGCGATACTCTGTACCATAGATCGATCCACTTTCATTATGCGCTGGGTTTACTAAAAAGATGCTTGTCACGCATCAATGATAGTCTGCATTTTGAGAACAGATTTAACAACCAAACTATAAGATTTAGAAATTAGCAGATATAAATATATATAAAATTAGATATATTTAAGACTTTGGAAATCTTTTTGAACAGTTTAAGCGAACAATAAAGTGTAGCTGAATGAAATCTATCCTGGATACTATTCTGAAATGAATGCTATCTATATTTGACGATAATAAGATACGTAAAACGTTTAAGTCGTATGAAAGAAGAAAGAGATAGCAGTTTATTGGAAACACTTTCTATAAACAATTTCTGATTTATACACATGAAAGATAGAGAAGCAAAGCTATGACCACTTCATATATCGAAAAAACTGTAGCGCTGTTGTTCGTAAGCACGACTATCTTCGCGTAAATGATAATCATCTGGTAATTCTGCCAATACTTTTGCAGCTTCGGCTTTATAGTCTCGTGTGTAATATGCTGAAACATCAAAAAAAGAAAAACATGGCAAGAAAATAGTAGCAAAGTAATAACAAAATTTAAAGCTGATCACAACGACAGCTAGAAAATCACTGAACCCTACCTAACAAAAAATAATGGGTGTACTCTTTGGCTTTAATAGTAAAATAATTTAAATCAATTAATTACTCATTTTTTTATTTCTAAAAATACTCCGGTGTTCATTAATCAATTTCAACATACCTTTGAAAAAACATCTGCTCTTACAACATACTACGTGCTAGGTGGAATGTGTGCTTTGACTAGAGTTTAGATTCGTATTTAAAAACCTACTAACTTGAACTTAAATACATACGGAACAAATGAATTAAAATACTATAATTACCATGTTTAGGAAATCGCGCATTATGCACGTGCAATTTACTGAAATATCCCATTTTCGGTCGAGTAATGTTCATGTTTTCTTCTACACAAATATCCAAACGACGCTGCTGCTCGCGACAACTGTAACTACTATTATTATTAACATCATTTTTTTATAATTTAGCTAACTAAAATGTTCGCGGAAAATTACACAAATTCTAAAAATAAATGATACATAGCTGTTGTAACTATACTACAAAAAGATTTTAAAACAAAAAATTAGTTTGCATCTTTATTTTTATATACTGAGACAATCACTCAAATTCCAATCTTTGGAACCAATGAGAAAGAACAAACGGTGTAATGTAGAGTTTCGCAGTACGGTGATCAATACAATCAGCAAAGCGATCAACTCTTTCACTGCAAACCTTTTTCAATGATTGTAAAAATTTAATACCACATGCAGTAAGGGCCCGACCTTCTTTTAGCGAAAGACGTGGATCTTCTGTTTCTTGTCGACGCAACATAAAATCCTATAAATAGGTAAATCATAGAATACAAAGAAAGGAAACTGAAAATAAGTCATTTCATTTTCTAATTAAAAAAATCATTGACGTTATGAAATGGATTTAAATCAATACTAAGTACAACTGACAAAAATTGAAAAAATCACACTTTGACTTCTTTTTCACACGCTATATGCATGTATGGTATAACTGCTTTAAAGTAAGGAGTTGAAAGAGTGATTTCATGAGGTACTGTTAGCTCCTCTTCTGAGGGCATAGGCGTATTCTTGGTTAACATCCCCTAAAATAAGATTAATGATATACAAATTATACAAAAGACGTTTGTTAAATACAAGATAAAAATATCAAGTAATTGAAACTGATGAATGATTTAAAAGATGAGGACAGAGTTCAAAAATTACTGATAAGCCTAGAAAGAATAGTGAGGATTCCTCGCACATAACACTCTAGCTATTTTCTTCACTTTCTCCTACCTCTCACAAACACATAAAGAAGAAATAAGAGTGAAATAAGGAATTCCTTCAAGCTTTAAATTACCTTGTCCACCCAAAAGAGATGGGGGTAATCAGGTTACAACAAGCTCATACTTATTCTTTTAAGAGAATAAACGTAACTTTCCTGCTTCTTGAAAAAAAAAACTCCAGTGGGTCATTTATCGTAAAACCAATAGACACCCCCACAATGCAGTACGCCTTCACCCCACTCACCCACTTGCTATCGGTTTCCCTGATTGGGAGAACACTGCGTTATATTTCATGTAGTCACACGATGAAAACGTTCGTCTCACACATGGACCTCACAGGGAAATCTGGAAGTAAGGTAGTTTATTGGATGGAGAAGGTGGGCATAAGGACTATTTGAATTGTGTAAACTAATACCTTTGTTAACTAACAAGTCTAACGGTCTGTCTGATTAGCAACTCGATTAGCTCGCTGGTATAATGTAGCGGCCTGAAAGCCGAGATTATGACACAGATCATGTGCGGCCTCCTTCCGATCGCCGAACTATACTGAATGGATTACATTGCATCGATGATGAAGTATTATGAAAGCAGGCAAAACACTGAAAATCTTTAAAAACTCAATTTCTATGTAAATTTAAAAGGATTATAGCAATTTCTATGTAAATTTGAAAGGATTAGTTAAAAGCTATGCATACTGGAAATTAGAAATTGTTTTCTATTGAAGTTGCCCGCAAGGTTGTTGACGTCAGTTTGTTTTCACAGAGGTGCATTATCTCCTAAGGAATAACTTTTATTGGAGACTGGAAATTTGTCCTTATTTTGGCTAACTTTTGCAATTATATTAATCAAAGTACTTAAAATTCATCTCAAATCTCATGAGATATTTTTTTCAGAAGCAAACTGCAAATTTTCAAGTATTCAAATATTTTTGGATAAATTTGAAATTTTAAAATCAAATAAAGGTTTCCAAAATGCAGTTGCATTACCACAACTGTTACAGATGAAGGCATTTCAAATTTCACGAAATGCACGGACAATGTCATCAACACCATCCCAAGCGCAATCATCGAGTAATAAACCATCGAATAGCGAAGATCAAGCAATCGGCGGTAACAATATAAAACCAAGACGGCAATCACCTTTCAACAGATTCTCATCGCCTCAGTTTAAAACAGCCGTGGAAAAGTCCAGTCGCATAGTCAAAGCGATCAAAGGTTTTCAAAAGATCAAGAAATCGACAACGCCGATGACAATGTATTTTTATCCGTGGAAGCTTTAATATGTATTTTTGTTTGTGAAGTTCTAATTTCTTCCATTGTAAAATTTCTCAGTAATTTATGTAAGAAGCTTAGAATTATGAGTGGAGCAAGTTCATCTCTCTTAAGAATGAAAAATTTCAGTTTGGGAAGAAAAAGTGGAGAAAACGCATTCTCACCAAAAGCTCAAGTTTTGGGAGAACAAAATTACCTTGGATTTCCGTGTGAACTGCCAAATGACCTCGTTGAAGATATTGACATGAAAGCAAAATTTGATCAAATCGATAAAAAAGTGAGGAGAATTAATACAATTACAATTCGCTCTGTTTCCATCTTCTTTAAAAATTTGGAAATGAATCAGTAATTGCATCATTTTTTTAATTTTAGAACTAATCCGACAAACAAATTAACTTTTATATTATTCTTTTCAAACAATGATTAATCTGTCTTTGAAATACTCTTTGCGGCTAATTCTTTCAGGTGGGCCTTACTATAACCAAATCACTGCTCATTCTTCGAGTGGAAGAATGTTCAATATTCTATGGAAAGTTGAAAATATGCGATTTCTTAACACATCTTGAAGATGAACCAATTATCAGTAAAAAAGACTTCTACAATAAACTGAAAATAATGCAAGATACTGGCAGGGAGGTAATAAATAATTTTAAATTCCCCAATCTCAATTTATTTCCAAATTAAGCATTGAATTTATTTCGAATTTTAGTTCAATTTACGGTTACGGAGGCCATTATGGAATACACCAGCTACTAGATTACCAAAAGGTTATGATCGTGCACCGGGATATGATTATATTCGCGGTCTGATGATTCTTTATCCGGGCGCTAATCTAGGAATGAATGTCAAAGCATATAATAACAAAGTCTGTTTCTTACTTCATTGATTATCAATTTAAGAGCGCGTTATTTCTGATTATATGGGGCTTTCGGGTCCTGCTAATAAATATTAGAGAAATTTGAAAATATCTAAAAACCTTTAGAAAGCGAAAAGATCTAACGCTCATAAATTTCATCTAGCCTGCTCTTGAATATCACGCAATCTTAGGAGCATAAAATGTAACAATTAAACTTTCAGAAGTTCAAGAATTGATAAAATCCTTTCGCTTTCCTTTCTCCAACATTCGTCGTTTCAGGTATATGTAACGAGTACAGATCAGATGAGTATAGCAGCAGCTGCTTGCTTGATGGGTGATTGTATTGTAGACGTCGATGGTATACCCATTACTTCAACTGTATCATGCGGTGAACGAGTCATTTCAGGACTCAAACATCGTAAATTTGTACGTCGCATGGCATGCATTTGCAAAATTAATTTTTCAGCTCTCAATATTAAAATTCAAATTTCTTAATTAAAAAAAAAAAATTTTGATAGGTGCTGATGACAATTGAAAGAGCTGTAGATGAGAAAGCTATACGAGTGATTAAATTTGTGCTACTTGTTCAAAAAATCCCTGAAAAGGATCCCAGGTGTTAAATTTTTTCGAAAATGTATAAATGTGGAGCTTCAAAACTGGTTTTTTTGTTTGCTGTTTCATTCAGAAAATCATCTTATTTTAAAATACCAAGATATTTATTTCTAAGATTTATGAAAATAGGATGGCACAAGATACGACTAAGATTGGTTTGGATCAAGCAGAAAAAATTCGGCAAAATACTCTACCGCCAGTTTTGAAAAGCATTTATCGTGGAAAGCATGGAAATGGCCAAAAGTTTTTTTCCTTTTTATTAGTTTCTATATATTACGCGCTTTTAATCCATCTTCACGCTTCAATTTTTCTATTACTTTAGCACTACTTACGCTTCAAGTTACTTGTTTTCATTATAAGATGGAAGAAGACGTCAAAATCTTTTTCATATTCTAATCCTCAGACGTTTGGTAATCCATGAGATGTCGATGTTCACGCCGATTGGTGCCGATTCATTCAATCCATTGCTGATGCAAGCGGTACCACCGAAGAGAATGGACGCTATGCATGCTAGTAAAATGAGTAAGTGAATATAACGAGTATCAAAAGAATAATCACCACCCTACAAAGCTGCTGTCATCCACCTGTGATATAATATAGCTTGATGCGTGTTATATACTTATTATGAATTATTTTCTGAATATATATATATAAATGTATTTAAAATTGTAAAACTGAAAGTTCAAATGATGTAATGATATACAAAATTCAATAATAATAATGACAATAATAATAAATAATAAATGCTAATAAATAACGATAAATAATATATCTTATTTTTTAGGTAATTCTTTTCATGCTCAATGATAATTATCTAAGTTATTCATTCAGTTTCATTAGGTTTTGTCGGAATCTCTCCGTCTTACAAATTTTCATGAGAAGCGGCAAGTTCATATTTGAATTATCCGCTTGTTTCTGCATTTCCGTTTTATTACGAGAAATAATTCATCATAATCATAATAATTTACATCGCAATGCAAAAGCTTGACATCAAATGTAGCTTTGAAATTTGGAAGTATTTCGCAGTTCAGATGGAATTTCGGTCAAGCCTTCAATATGGTATATGATATATTTGTAATGATCACATACAATCACAAAATTTAGTTCGTACCTGTTAGAAATGATTAGGCGATATCTACCTTAAGGTTAGCTAACTATCGATGGATTTTCGTTAATATTAATTTGAATTCTTTATCAAATGTTTTTAAGACATTGGACATTTTAGTTTTATATAAAACACTTTCGCTGATTCAGATTTGATGACTTCAGGAAAAGCGGAAATTCTGCTCATGGAAGTAATGTAATATTCAGCGGTAGAGATTTAATGAAAATTCATCACTTTTATGCTAATCAAATTGTTTGATAATTGGATGTTGCTGTTCCCGCTTTAAAGTTCTTTTCTGTTTTCTATAACATTCAGAGAAGACCGCCATACTAAAATATCGCACATTAATCAGATTACAGGTAGACGCATATATTTAAATATATTGTGCTAATCAGTAAAATAAAGTTCCAATTAAAATTTTCAGTATCACACCGTATGTGGATGGTATGATTTAAGTATTCCTCTGTAGAATGGATTAAATAATGCAATAAATAATGATGCCATAGATATTATCTATGTTCATACATTTAACGGGCGTAAAATGGACTTATCAAATTGTAAATTTCAGCGCAATATTTCTCGCTTTTATAAAATGAAAGATTTCCTTTCGAGCATCAGTTTTAGAAGCATTTATGGTCTAAAAAAATTAAAGTTGTTGATATATATAGATTAAATTTATATTATTCTTAACAGGGCAATGATTTAAAATCAGAAAAAGCAGGCTTTATGATAAAAACAATACACAGAATGGGGGTAAGAACAAGACATAACTTCTCAAATATTCCCAAAAAGAATTTATTATTAATTTTTCTGCAGATTGACTGTTATCGCAATGAAGTCATAAAATATATCAAAGCATGCTTTGATTAAATTAATATTGAAATATCAACAGATATGATTTAAGAAAAAAATACTGTTGTTGGAATTTCAGGAAATTTTAGGAAGGATAGCGTTGCTTATTGTTTCATAATATCACGTGGAATCGAATAATTTATTTTCTTTTCTTCCGTGTAACTAAATTCGAAATTAAAATTGTTCAGACTTCCAATCAATAATCTGGAGACAAGATTGCATAGATCAAATATAATATCACGAAGCCATAAATCTATAAAATGAAAGAAGAAATGAAATTGCTCCTATGGATCATAATTAGTCATTTATCTATCAAAAGACTGAAATCTTGCTTGTGATGTTATATGTTTTTTGAATGAAAACAAAGTGACCGTTGCAAATGGCAACGGGTACTTTTGCGCATGACGCATGACTATTATATGTATTAGGAAGAGGAGAAAGATTAGACTACAATTATTTTAACATGGTGCTATCATACTGTAACAAAAATTTTATTGCAGTTGCCTTTAGTTGAATCTTGAATCCCCGTTTGGAAAATGATATTGAAATACATCAAAGCTGTTTTATTTTTTCCTTTCTTTATTTCATAGTTCATCGAATTTCGCCTTGCATTTTCTCATATAAAGAATCTCTCCTTAAACTTCCTTCTGGACACCAAAATAGGAGAAATCTCTATCACTAAATTAGTTATATTATGTTTTGCTTCACTGTTGGATACAGACCGCAAATTCACTAATATTTCGAAAAGTCTTCCAAAAGAAAAATAAAAAAAATTTTCTGCGAGATTTAGAAAGATTTCTTATAAACTAATTTTTGAAATCCCCGAAGAAGTTTAGGGTATAAAAGAAGTCTGACTGAAAACTGACTATTTTAAAAATTATATGTGCCGTTCATTCGTGAATTGGATTCGTGAATTTCCTATTACTAACTGAAATTTTAAAAGACTTTTTAGCAAAGGTATAAATTTATGCATGGTGGTTCCAAGCTACGAAATTTAAAATCACGTGAAAGAAAACAAGTTCTTGAAAGAAGTGTATCTCAAGAGATTCGAAAATGGATCGTGCCAACTAATAAATACTAGATCAAAAGTATCTCAACAAGTATAGATTTAAAAAAGATTTTTCCTTTTTAGTTCTATACTTGCTGAGATATCTTTTGAAAAAGTCCAAATATCTTAAACAACTATCCAAATATTTATTTCTCATCTTAAATCCTCAACGCATCTCACTTATTTTTTGAATATGTTAAAAATTAAAACAATTTAAAGAAGATAATAGTCTGTTTTGCAATGCCTTATATATCTCTATTCAATAAGTAATCTAAAGTTTAATTTTTAAAAATTATAATGAAATTAAAGTATTTGGACATGTCTAGTGCAGCGGTTGGGAATTAATTAAAAAAGCTGAAGTTCTTACAACTAGTACGCAATAAACACAATAAAAATTATGCCATTTACAGCCTTCAATATTGAGAAACAACATTTGCAACTGAAACAAAAAAATTAATGTATTCACTCATCATAACATAATGACAGACACGAAGATAGTGAAAAAGTATTTACAGTGAAACAGTGAAAAAAGTAATTATTTACAGTGAAAAAAGTTAATTTGCTTTAAATTTAGCAGCAATGGAAATAAAACATTTCTTTCCTGGGCATTGTCTATTTCACCACTGATGAGAAATCTGACCACACACTCTGATCAAGTTCAGAACCGCTAATTTCGCAGTCTGTCGTAACATCTGGTGAATCATTTGTTGATAGCGGGCTTCCGAAGGCAGATGGTGGCAGCGGGTAATAGTGTCCTAGCTAAAACAGTCTTGACAATCATTTATGTAGTCTTCAAAATATTTGTTCAGTTCTAGACTTCATTTTCTATTACGACATAAGTAGCATTAAAATCCACCTACGTTTGTATCCGCTTTAAATGCTTCGTTAACATTTGAATCAGCTTTATCCATTTGATTGACATGGATATCACTTGGAATTTTTCCTGTCCCCTCCGAATCTACAGCATGCTCATCTTTAAATTTCCTGGCAGTGGGCTGAAATGTGAAATGCAAGTGACAAGTCCAAATTCTGATCATAAAACACTGAAGTCTTAAATTCGTTATGCCAAATTTTGAAGCAATTAAATGCAAAACATAGCAACATTCCATTTTTAAGTACTGTCTTATCAAACAATGTTCTTGTCACATTATCAAGTGTAGTGATCCACTGAGGTCTTGAAGCTACATTTTTCTTAAAATCATCTGATGATGGATCGCCAAAGTCAGAAGTGTCCGGATTACAAGCTGCATCGCTTCGAAAAGAAAGTACGTCCACCTCGTCCGAATTTAGTTTTTCTGAAGATTCCTTATATTTTTAAACTTTGCAAATTCCTTTAAAGAATACGGGTTAGAAACTTCATTGTCGAAAAGAAACTGTAGCATTTAAAATCAGAAGAACTAACCATCCCGTAAATCTGCATGTTTTACAGAGTGAGCAGTTAATTTTGCACGACTGCGAATCGTTTCAAAACGTTGCGTTTCCTTAAAATACATATCAATTATAAATATTAAATTTAAGCTATATTCAATAAGTCATTAAATTATTTTTGTACAGAAATGCGTTTTCTATTATTAAAGCTATGACTTTCCTTCATCTTTTGAGATAATTGAATTGCAAGATTACTATAGCACTGAGAAGAAAAACTATTCCAGTTAAAGGAATTGTGTAAATTTGCTACAAATGAATTACTGCACAAAATTAGGCAAAAAGTTATGACCTCTTTCTCCTTGGCAATTAGTTTTTCAAGATACTTTTGAAGGTCGCTAATTTCAGTTTCGTGCTGTGTCATTTCTGCTTTATTGTTTTCGCGAAGAACATTGGTTTCCATTTCTAATCGATTGCACTGAAAATGATCTATATGAATAACTCCTTCAGGTCGATTTTTGAGAAAATTTTGTAGTTGGACGGAAGTATAGTTAGGAAAACAAAAAAATCCATTTCAAAATTGCAAAGAACTACATAAAAATAAAAATAAGGGAACCAAAAGAGAGAAAGAGATTAAATTCTGAAACGTCAAGGCAAAATCTTATCCTAAACAAATTTGTGACAAAATTAAAAACATTGTAAGAACTTCAATGAATTGCTTCTACATCATTAAGTTGAAATTTCATTAGAAATAACGTCGAAATCCCTGAGAAAAATATAATAGCTGAAAGTGGCTTATCAAAAACTTAAAAATTTAATATTTTCAATTTCTCTTGCAAAATATGCATACTCTGTAATCCTCAAAATATTTGCACATTTTCCTATTATAAGAATATTGCGTATATGAGAGCAAAAAGCTATATTGAAGTGAGAACCATTGTTTTTGACCGTTACTATTAATGAAAAAATTACTTCCATATCAATTTCCATCCTCTTGCTGCGAAGGGCAGCAGACGCCTTTCTTTCTGTAGTTATCATTTCTTCCAAATGTTTCCATGCGGCAATAGCGTTTTCAATCTCCTGTGACCAATCGTGCTGTTCATCACCGAGATACATCATTAAAGAAGCATGCTCATTTTCCACGCAATTCAGTTCTGTTTGCACTCGTCTGATTTCATCTTGCAACGCACTTACCTTTTCATTTATCTTTGCCTGCAACATAGGATTCATTTGTGCAGGCGAAAGAGAATTTATCTTTTGTTTTTCTAATACTTTTTGTCTATAAGGACTACTGAAGTGAAGTGAAGTACTGAAGTGAAGTTTTGTCTATAAGGACTACTGAAGTGTGAACTGCAAAAAGCAAGACTTCTTAACAAACCTGTAGGCTTTCACGAATACTGTTATACTGAGACGAGAAAATTTCAGGGTCATCTCTTTTAAGCGCTGTCAGATTTTCCAATTCTGTTTTCATGATTATAATCTGCAAAGTCACTTGAAAAACCATTTATAATAAATCATAAATTTACTTGAAATTTTATAATAATTTAAGTGTTAACATTAGGAAGGCAGTAACAGCAGTAAAATTTAGAAAAACACTGATTAATTAATGGATGCACTTACTTTCTCATCAAGCATCCGTTCTTTATCCACAATTTTCTCATTTTCCTCATCCAATTTCGACAATTCAACTGCGGCTTCATCACATTCTTGAGAAAATACATGTAGCTGTTGCTCCAGCTCTTCTTCCTCTATCATAACTTCATCCAAATTCTCCTTCAAAATGATCAAATGAAAAAATATAAAATGTCATCCATAGCATCTTGAAATATTTTGTCACCAGATCTTATTTTTTCAATTTCTCTTTAAAGTTGAATATTAACAATGTCGGCTGATAGTATTTTTTCCAACTCCACTTCCGCCTCGTGAAATTGTTGTTGAAGTTTCTGATTTGTAGAATTCTTCATTTCTGAAAATGATACCACTATTTGAAATTAATTAGACTACATTTATTTTCAATCAACCCAGATTAAAAAAGCTTTCGCTTTTTAGAAGAGGCTTTGATGAATTTTTGTCACTGCATGAGCATAAAAAAAATTTTCAGCGAGAGCTGGCCCCACAATGAAATATGAAGTGAAGCTTAACATGTTAAACCATATAACTTCCTTCATGATTTGTTTCTCCAGTCGATGCTGCTAATTGAAGTTATAATTTCGAGCTTTTTTAAAATTTCTATCACTAGTTTTAATTACCAAGATCCGACTTCAATATTGCAACACGATTCAGTAGCTCCTCATATTCCATTCTCAACAGCTGTTCTCTACTGTCTCGCATCTTCCGTAAACTTTCAGCTCTTTCTTCCAGATTTTTATGGCGTAATAAATGATTTAGGCCATTTTGCAGTTCAGCTAAAGCATCATCAATTTCCGCGCTTTGCTCTACTGAAAAAATCAGTTTTTATCCAGTTTGAAGAAGTTTGGTTGAAATCAAATAAAATATATAATATCTATAGAGGGAGCCTTTTCACTTCAGAATTTCATTGTTTATTTCGCTTTTAATTGCTCATTGTGAACTAATATTTGTCGTGAGTATATAATATATTATAGTATAATGTGTCAAAATGCAGAGAAATATGGAATGCCGCTTGATATTTCAGTTTTCATTCTAGTTTTTAGTTATAATCAATAAAAATCCGTAATTAAATCAAAAAAACCCGAGCACTTAAACATACTCTTTTCTTGCATCGCTTCCCAATCATTTTCAGCACAAATCTTAAGAGCCATAAAGCGAGCTGTAAAAGTCTCGATGCTGAAGCTGTTGGCCTTATTCGTAACCTCTACCGTATCCATGGCTTAAAAAATTTTTAATGTGTTTTTTAAATTACACTGCAAATGAAGCGATGAAAGCAATTAACAGTATAAGCACCAATAACGCAGCAAATATTAGGAAAATATTGAACCTGTCTTAATGAGGTCTGAAGCTGCCTTGAAACGCATATCGATCAACTGCAGACCTTTGGCATTGCGATGAAGTCTAAAATGGATATCCCTACTATTCAACACAAAACAGATAGAAGACTACGAATTGTGACACCGTCCAGAAATATTCAAAAAGCATTTAATATCAGATATCATATGATTGCATAGTTTCTATTCTTAAAAGAACTTTAAAAACCATACTGTTTAGAAATTTCATTGCATGCTCGGCGTGACTGCTTCAGATTTTCTTCATCATCGATATTTTGCGCAAGGATTGCCTTTGAGTGTTCCCATATATTTCCTTCCTCTTTCGCAAAAATTGCTTTCTAAAATAACTTAATTGATCTTGTTTGTGCAGAATTTGATGTGTGAAAAAAGTTTGAAATTTCAAATAATTTTTCCAATCACAAGAGATATGCAAACCTCTTTGAGCAGCTTGTTGCGTTTTTTGGATAGTTCTGCTGTTAGATGCATGGGATGCAATGTGTCGTTCTGTTTCGCTTGGGTAGAAGGTTCATTGACAGTCGTGTCCATGACTAATCTTAATATTTAGTAGTAAAATGTCAATCACCCATCAACGATACTTTCATGTGGAGCGCATACTCTATTTAAGATAAAGATGCCACAACAATGATGGTGCCAATTAAGTTAAGAGTTATTTAATGAGAAGTTCCATCAGGAAATTAGACGAAAAAGCATCATAAAGACTTCACGTAGAATCTTATTTATCATCACAAGCAGGATTAATCATAAATTTTATCTATAAAAATGCTATTGTCGTTTATGAAACCCAATGCAAAGAAGAATCTTTGGAAAGAACCACTCCTTCTGATCTTACGGGAACTACGACTTCATTCATCGCAAAGTGTAAACAAAGAAACTGAACAATAAATATTAATAAACTATAATCGAAACTTCACGTCAGAAATTGAAAATAAAACAATTCCGACTGATCAAACAACAATTTTGCACGAATTTTTCACAGCATTGTAAGGATCACTAAATCCCTCCATTTGCACGTAGACTTGAGTCAAGATTCATATTATGCACGTAGTCATTCATTGCCATCATTGCTGCCATTCCGAAAACTTTCATTTTTCAGACACTTCTCCTGCTATCATCGTAAGTGATCTGCGATAAGTAATACGCGAAAGTATTGCTTTTGCATATGTGTATTATTTGCAGGTACTTGCAAGTTTAGATATGATCTAGGCTTTATGTTTATTTGAACGTGCATATCATCTGCAAATACATGCGTAACTTACAAATTTAGGTATGATTTGGATTTATATACTTACCTCTACATGCATGTCATCTAAAGACATGAATAATTTGCGCGTTTAGATAGTGCGATAGAGTTATATGTGTTATTCGTATATATTGTTCACTGTGTAAGGAAGAGACGCTGTTAGGAATAAAACGAGTTGTATAGTATGTTCTGGGCTTGAGGAGTCATAAAGGTCAAATGGTTACTTCTCGATCTGTTCATGGTTCTTAAATCCATTTGCGCTTTTCTCAGTACTTCCCGAGAGCTCCCCAATCCGTTCTCTCTCCTTTATTCTTTTGTTTGACTGATTTTTTCGTCGTACCATTCGAATTATCATTCTTTCTGTGACAGCATACATTGATTCATCTGCATGATTTTTAGTAGTTAATATAGTGGTTAGGATAAAAGATAGCAATTATACTGAGAAATTTTGAGAAGATATTCACAACTTTCCTGTTACTCAAATCCTTCTAAAAATTATTGAAAGTTATCATAAAATTCCCAGCGCAAAAGTGTTTTTGAAACATAACTGTGATTTCAGTTGCAAGCAAAAGCAACAGGGGCTGGAATTGTAATTGGTGTGCTAGTGAAGAAATGCAGCAAACAACAACGATTTCATCAGTTCAGTACAATTTCCAGCCCTCACCAGAGATTTATTCACAATACGGTATGGATATGTTGTCTCTAGTATGTCCCATTCTTTGTTTTTCTATCCTCACCCTTTTACTTTTTATAGATCTATCAAGCCTAAATTCACTTCAATTATTCCAAAATGTTGCAAAAAAAGCTCAAAAAATATATATTCTTTACTTAGCTTTTGTGACCTTCCAAGGTTAACAGAGGTTACTTTCCCCATTGGCATACCTAATATCATCTATTGGACATAATTATTATGAAGAGGAATAAAATTTCTTATTCACATTTTTAACTTATTATTTTAGAGCGAATGGGTACAGATGCTGCTACAGACCAGCTATGCCAAAGCATTTCATCTATCACGGTTATTTGTTCTTTTGTGTAGTTATTATATTCGTAATCAGGACAATAATTAAAGATATCTTTCTTGTACAATTATATACTGTTCGTATGTTTTGGGTTATGTATTTGCAGGTTAGTGATAAAGAAAATGGGATGAATGAGGCGCATTGGTGTTCTCCATGTAGTCAGTACACTGATTACACCTACACAAATCCAGCTGAACACCAATTGGTAAGTATAGGATAATTAATGGAACAATGAGTGGATCTTTTCCTCATAGAGTTTAAGTATAAAATATTATGCTCCGTTTTACAATTGCTTGATAGTGCGGTATTTTTTTGGTGGATCGTTCAACCATATGCTCGATAAAAGTTAGACACAGTTAAGCCCATAATGTAGGCAATTTAACTGCTCCATGTGATTAAGCTACTGGTGATAAGGCCACTTACCCTCGAAATCAGGCCTACTCATTCAAAAAAGTCTATGACTTCCGATTATGGAACTAGATTATCTTGATGTATTCATTCAGCATCAAAGTGTTGGTGCATATTCATCGTTTAGTAGTTCTGGTAGGTAATACTGGACGGGATAAATTATTGAATAAGCATAAATTTCAAGTCGGTTATAAATATGAAAATCAAGTAGTTTTCATTTCTTTCATTTTAGACTGTGCATTAAGAAGATTTTCTTAGATCTATCTTTTTTAGATGGCTTGTGATAGTTGTGTACAACAGTGCGAAGTGTCGCATATCAACAGCTTGAGAAATGGTGAATGTTGGGATAGCTACGAATGGTTGGTTTTATATTTGTCATCAATTTCCTTCACTTACTGTATGGTTAAAAATTAGGGTTCATTGTTTAATTGCTGATTCTTCAGCTACGGTTTAAACAACAATATTGAAGTGGTGCAGCCGACATTGTTCTACCTATTGACATCAGGTTGCATTGCAAATTTCGGCAAGGACGAAAAAGGCAGCAGGTGAGATTTAAATAAATTGTTTGATCTTGATATCAAGTATTTCATTTTCTGCGAAAAGAATTGATTTGATGATAATTGATAATGTCTATCATTGTTTATTTAGATTCGTGCAGGAAGAATTTGCAAAAAGCTCGCCAGCGGTTCGTCAAATGATGTTTGATTATCTTTTCGAAAGAGGTGGATTTGACTGGTTCTCTAATGATCCACACGGAAATTTCATCATTCAGGCATGGCATACAATGATTCCGAGTGAGAGTAAGTGAAATAGCGAGTTATAAATATTCTCTTATAATTGTAGAGAATCGCAATGGAAGCTTTCCCCGGTATAGAACAAGCTAGAGTCGCCGAGCATGTGGCAAATAAAGTGGTCAAAATGTGCTCAAACCGTTATGGAAGTAGAATCATGCAGCGTATTTTCGAAAGATTCGATTTCGGATACAGAGTCGAACTTCTAAACAAGCTTGGTGGGTCGGAATGTTTCCTAGCAGTTGATAGCCGTGCTACTCATGTCATGCAGGTTTGTTTGAAATTTCATTCCGATTTATATTTTCTTTTAACTCCTCAAATGTTTTTGTAGAAATTGTTTGCTCTTTTTCCACCGACAAAATATAGCTTCATCGTGATAGCGCTAACACTTTCGAAAGAGAATTTCAAGCAAGTTGTTCAAAACAAATATGGATGCCGCGTTATTCAATCTGCCCTGGAGGTAAAAATCATACTTTTCGTAATTTTACTAAGAAGAACTAATTCTGCTGATTTCAGCGAAAAGAAAGATTTCTGTTTTCTTCAGAATAATTAATTTAGATTTAATTCAAACGAGTAGTAGTATTAAGGAATTTATTAAACTTTTTAGGAACTTGAAATATCAGCATGTACCACGCGCTATGCTAATAGTCCAAACGAATTCAAGGCAGCAAGACGGCTTCTAAATAAACTGTTGAGACGGCTAACAGAGAACTGCGTGGAATTTACAGATCATCAATTTGCAAACTACGTTATGCAGCACGTTATCACCTCGGAGTTCCATCCTGAAGCTCGAGATTACATTATCAAACATGCTATTCTGTACGTCTCCTAGTTAGTATGTCATCGGTAAACATTACAGATATCAGTACATAGAAGGGAGATGGTTGCTGTAACTAAAATTGGATACAAAAACTTTTCACGAGAACGAAAGCAATGGAATTCGTTCAATAGACAATCTTTGACTTTTATGTAAAAAAACTTTCATACGAGCGTCGTAATGTGCTTCATATCAAGGATTATAAGTATTCTTGCACACTTTTTTTATTGTCAAGAAATTTTATTTTTCTTCACAGAAGCAATGTGCTAACTTTATCGCAAGAAAAGTTCGCTTCTCATGTCGTTGAAAAGTCGTTGAAACACGCATCGCCAAAATTGCTGCATTGTTTGATGAATGAAATTTTTGATGGTTATGTCAAAGATGAGTGAGTTTAATTCTCTAATTCAGTATTTCAAGCTAAAAACTATCGGGTTTTTTGACTACTCATTCTTTTTGTATGTCTGTAAAATAAGTAAATTTTATAAGCACGCATTAAATATCATCAACATAGTCCCTTATTGCAGCATTCTATGCACTATTTCAAAGGGATATACCGTCTTCGAACCATTCATGTAATTATTGATCTTTCAATTAGACTGTTGGTGATTTGAGTCGTCTAACGGAGTTAAATCTACAGGAAGCCTTATTATGTCAATCTAAACATTTCCAGCAAAGGGCGTGATGCGCTCGATATAATGTTATTTGATCAATATGGCAATTATGTTGTGCAAACAATGATTAACGTGTCAATTGACGTACACAATGATAGATGCGAAGGTGATTTGATATGGCTGGCTCGCCTTTCTGAACGAATTTCTCGACATGAATCTCGACTCTTGAGATATTCGTCTGGTAAAAAAATAATCGAAAAGATGAAACAGGTGCTTTAATTAATGTTATTACTTTTTTTATCATCAACAGATTAATTTGCGATTTTATTTCCATAGGTTCAACAACTTACGTTTTAGACCGAATTATTGGGATTTTACAATCTCATAAATATCGTAAAAAAGCTGGAGTTCTAATTTTGGATTATTTAAAATTTACCGATATTCACAAAAGGTCAGATTACCAAACTATTTTTAATATCAATTTTTTATTCTCCTGGAGTGTTAGATGTTGCTAAAATTCGATATTAGTAAGATGTAGGTTTGTTAAGATTTCGATTTCTTTTGAGGAAAATTTTTATTTTCCTGGATTGGTTTTTAATTTATTGACTTAATTGATTGGGTTCAAAAGAAAGGGACGAAAAGCTAGGGAGCGCTAGTGAAAAAGGGAAGAGATCATTGGTCTATTTCAGTTGATCAAGTTGACTTGAAGCAGTATTTGGTTAAGGAGGAATTAGAAGCATGTTTTTGTTATCTTATAATTTTAAGCGAAAATATAGCTATTGAGCATTAATAATGTGATTTACAGTGTTCGTTTGATCGGAATGATCACAGTTAATTCACCAGGAGTGTTAATGCAGAAGTTTGGCAGATAATTGTGAGACGTCTTAATCACGTCACTTTGTCAAGTGCCTAATAATGTTCAATTTTTTTGTGAATCTTGTGTTCTTGGTTTTTAGTTCTCGCTTTTTTCATACATGTATTTTGAAATTTGCACATTCATATCTTGATCATTTCGTGAGCATTGTTTTGCAGTTCGTAGTAGTGTTAGCTTCTAGCTTCATTTATTTTGTTGTCAGTCTTGCCGGGTATTGCCCTTGGCTTTCAACTACTTGTGCAGCTAGTCTTGTAGGGAATTAATGGTGATGGCAACCATTGTCCTTCTTTAATCCCATAGCTGTGTGCCTTCAACGTATTTCTTATATCTGTGTTAGGTGGGTCATTGTATGAATTAAGATATTCATTCATTCAGTGCTTTCCAAATGTGCAGACTGTCATTTTTAATTTGTGTATAATTTGCAGTGTTAATAAAGTTTTTTATGTGACAGTGTTACGTTCGGATTACTTTAGATTTGTTGAGTATATTTGTGGTTAGGCGTTTTTCTGACAATTCCTTCCAATGAGAAGTAATCAGAGGTGATTGTTTAAAACAAGATGAAGTGACTTTAAATAGCATATTACCATACATTTGGTGATAAAAATTAAGTGGTGAAACAATAGTTTATATGAAAAATGTCCTGATTTTCTTCTCTTGATTCTAATGCTTCTCAAGATTTGGGGATTATAAATACCTAGATTTTCATGTCCCTTTTGAAACTAATGTTTCAATGCTTGGATTTTACAGAAGAACAGCGATCTGATTTATAGCTGATTGTTTGGAAAGATACAATCACATATAATTCCAAATAAGAAATGATCGCCGGGAGAAGGACCGATGACTGGCCTCTAAAACTTTCATTGCTTGTCCATAATGGCAATCAATCTTTCAAGAACCGATTAAATTCCTTTTAGTGCTTTTGCTTTTGCTTATTAATATTGTCCCGCTTCTTAGTATTGTGGCAAGTAATGTTATTGTACATTAGGATCATAATGTTTTACCCCTCTTAGGCTTACTGAAACTATAAAATCTACTTTCTTTCTTTCTTGGTAACAAATATATCACTTTCATGCTTTTGTTAGACTGATCGATACTCTTTCCATCACTAATTGCTTCTGGAAAATACGAGATGCCGCCAAAGTTTGATCTGTGAGTTGACGAATTGTTAAAGATATTATTTGATTCGCTACGGCTTTACGGTCCAATCTACAGTCATTTTTTCAGCAATTCCAGATCCAAAAAAATCTTTAGCTAAATAATATGGAATGAACATGATATCGATATTGTATGGTGTTGCATGCCAATTTGCGTATCTTGCGTGACTTAAGGAAGTATCATTTTATATTGAATTCTCTTGGTCATAAATTCCCTGATGGTCAGAAATAAAGCAAGTACAATCAAGCTGCAAATTTTGCAAAATTTGAAAATTCGAGGAAAAGTTTGTCAGGAACAAGTTATGTTAACCTTTTGAAAGTAATTTTCTTGAATTTGATCCTCTCATTTGCATCGATCACTCTTTTTTAATTTAATTAAAAAATAGTATTAAATAGTTCGTGAGATTCCCTAAATAAAATTATGACAGAAATTATTTTCGATTGCATTGCAATGTAAACTTTTAGCTGGTTTCTCCTCATAATTCCCTCCTGTACTAATCTTTCATTCGGTTCATAATAAAAGACCGAATGGAAGATTGTCGATTGTAGTGTGACTTGTTGAAAAATGTAGCATTTAAAGAATATGAGATGACTGAATTTTTAAAGTTAGACAGTGTAACTGCTCAAGATAGATGAGATATCTCTGTGTAATCAATGATCCAAAATCTCATTTTCTAAAATGAGGGTGAAAATTTATCAGTATACTGATGTCTGTTACAGATAATGCTCATTATTGTATCGCAGGAGTGACGGAACCACCTATTTCTTTTTTTCTGATTGAAACAAACTTTACAGAACTTCAACAAATATGTTTTTATATCTATCAATACTTACTTTGGTATTCTTATTTAATGGAAGAGAAGCATCCATCAGAATGGTCAGTAATGCTGAATCAATTAGTCCTGAATCATTTCCATATATAGCTGAGCTACATATTGTTTGGCCAGGTAAGTTTGGGGAATAAAATAAAGTTGAGAAAAAAGTAAAATGTGACGAAATTTGAATAATTTAAATACTAATGTACTTTAAATCATGCAAGATTGACTTAAATTATCTTAGATTAAGATTGATTTTTTTGCAGATCGAAAAATCGTATGTACGGCTAGTCTTTTGTCTCGTTCAATACTAATTACTGCTGCACATTGCATAGTGTAAGTATAAGTTAAAAATTCACATTTATCCCAAATAGATTAGTTTAATTTCAAAAGTTTAGATTATCTTTAATTTTCCAAATAAAATATGCAATTTTATCATACTTAATTTCAGGTTATCATAGTAAATTTAAAATTTTAGTGACGAAAAAACGAGGGAACAACTAGGTAAGGTGAAGAAAGTAATATTTCGGCGTGATCATGGCCGATCATATGTAACTTGGGTTAGTGATGAAATTCATGGTATACTAAAGATATCCGAACTAAATGTAAGCTTTTTGCTGTTCCATTCAGTTTCTTATTTTAATTTGGATTGTATCTGAGTGATATGAGAAAATAAAATTTGAGTGATATGAGAAGAATGAGAAAAGATAAAATTTTTTTTTAGATTGTATTTGAGTGATATGAGAAGACGGAACATTTTAGATTAACGATAAAAATTATTGGGAAATAAGTAGATGGAAATACAGTCCATACTAAATATTTCAAGCGATCATTTACGAGATATCTCGAAATTGTTATTTGCTGCGTTAAAAGTTTAATTAACTTGAAAAGCATCAGTTTCATTTCATTAAAATTTTTCTTATATGCTTTGTGCGAAATTCTGAAATGTTATTATAGCTGTTGAAATAATTTTTGCAGGAAAAAGAGGGTATTTTGGATTATGCATTGCTTCAGTTAGAGAAACCATTACCAGTATGTCGGGTCAGGAATGGTAGAATATTTTCAATTATTAAATTACCAGTGAAAGATATACGAGCTTGTGAATGGAGCGTTTTGCAACCATTAAAAGAATTACTCAATCAATGCTCATTATTTGGTTATGGAGCTTCAGAAAAAAGTATAAATGCTTTAAATTTGAAAAAACTAGAACTTTTTATATTCATGAACAAATTAATAATGATTTGGTTGCAAAAAAATGAGTTTAGAAAAGAATAATTCTGATTTGTTGCCAAATAATATTAAAAAATATTGTTTACCATTTGAAATACAAATTTATTACTTTAAAATTACCATAAAATCTCAATATACCGTTCGTTGAAGCAACATCAAACCCTATCTGCTAGTTGCAGAATTTATTGTCATTTTAATGAAATACTATATTGCTTAATCCTTTTTTTAGGTGGACCGGATGGTAAGCTACGAAAATTAACAAATATTTCAGTTTGGGAAATCAATGGACGACTTTTAATACCAATGAAAGATAATGCAGAATATATACGTCAAGGTCGTATATGTGGTGTAAGTTAATTTTATCGGAATGAACAAAAAGCATATTTAATTTAGCTCTCTCAGGCGGTATTAGTTCAACGAATTACTTCAACCATATCTATTAATTAAGTTATCAGTGAAATCACTTATTCGTCTCGCTATATCACGATCTCCTCCAAACCCACCTGCTCTTAGCGGCGGGGAATAGCGCTATTGTTTTCCCCAAACCCAAAAATTATGCTGTTGGCGAGTCCCAACTCGTGATTGCCACATCGAGTCAGTCACCATCCTACGTGTAATGGGCCGATCTGATTGCAATAAGAGTTGGAGCTTGAATTTCGTAGATATTAAGCTCCGAATTTGATAATTTTCGAAATAATCAGGTAACAAATATCACTCACTTTTTGTTATCCATTCGTCATTGTTGGAGCTATCAATTCGCTTCAGGGTGACTCCGGTGGACCTTTTGTTTGTGCGAGTAATTTCGGTGAACGAATTTATGGCGTTCTCTCACATTCTGAACCAATATTGCAATTATATCCCTCGTCGTGCCATGGCGAGGTATGTTTAGATGAAAATTCAATTCGAAAAATACTTTTTCTGACAAATGAAATAATGAAATATCGGATAGAGAATGTCTATCTCTTTTCGTTCCGGAAATTCTTTAACATTTTCAATATTTCCATCTGTTACATTTTACGTCACCGAAGTGCTTTTATTTTGAAAATTTTGCAGGAAAATGCATTTTTATATGATGTAATGGCTGATGTTCGCAAAATGCTACCTTATATCCAGGAATCATTCTCTAAAATGAACAAAATAAATGAACTGGTTGAGGATTACGAAAGATGTGACTTATAAATTTCCTGTCATCCTTTATCATCGCTTTTCTCATCAGGATTGATTATTGCGCTTTAAAAATTCATCCAAAAGTCTCACTGAACTACTTTGAATTTTTTGTATTTCAATGTAAAAAAAATCATATCTATATGAATTCTTTCTGATGTGTATGAAAATTATATTTTCAATTTTAAATTGTATTTTGGAAATATTTCCAAATAAATTTGTATTTGTAATACAAGGCAAACTGTACAATACAAAATCAACAATACAACAAGTTTTTCCGATAAAAATAAAATTTAATCATGGAATTGTACAACTCTTAAATCACCGAATTCAATCAATCGATTATGGTAGGATATTGATATTCTCCTCATAACCGATCATTTCTAGCAAATGCGACATTGCTTTTTTAGTGCTGTTATGCCTTTCCTAAATTTTTTTTTCAAAAATTTCTAGAAAACTTTCGAAGTTTTATGAACTGTCATTCGTCGTCCTCAATATGATTGACGTTTAACATGAGTTTTGCGAAAGGGATATACACATATTGCCAAATTTATTATTCGCTCTCACGCATTGACAATTGTTTGCTAATACTCAACAACCGTCAGAATTATTGAATATATTCTGTACTTATATCCCAATACTATTCATATTATTGTTCATAGAGTCTTAGTATCGCTTACAGTAGGAAGCATACAAATTGATTAATTCATACATAATATACGAAGAAGAAAAAGACAAACTTTCGCTCAATTCCGCTTCTCGTTGTGCAATTTCCACCTCACGTTGACAATTAGCTTCATAATTTTCCCGTAAAAGAGTACGCCATTGGTCTAAACCAAAAAAGCCAGCTAATATCGATAAAAGGTAAAGGATATTACAAGCCTGAAAAATTGAATAAAATATAATAAATATATTCATTCTTTTGCTAAGCAAATATGAAAATAACTAATCGAATTAATAGTTTGGTAAGTAAATTTTGACAAATTGATTATTATTTAATAATAAAAATGTTTTGTATGTTTGACATTATTTCTTTCATTACTTACTCGTGAAAAGACAGGAATACATTTAATGATTGCTATGGCGCAGTATGCAGTTGACATCGGTATCAGAAATAATAACGAACCAATAGCAAATGGAACTGATGCTAATGTCATGATCGGAAACAGCAACACTGCCTTAAGTAATATCTACCTGCTTAAATAATATGTAATATGTAATATGTAGGTTTAATTCAAATTCTATAAATGTTGTTGTTCAAAATATAAATTACAACTATGAATTCATCATAATTTCGCAATTGATGAATATAAGCTAGATCGATTGGTGAATTAGATAGGGAGATGTTATTACCAAGGCAGTAATGGCCCATGGTGGTTTATTCATTCGACGCATGAATTCTCGAAACAACGAAATTATTTGATAAGGAAGTGCGATTAGTATTAAGAACGGTCCAAAATACTGTAAAATTTGTTGTAGTATCACAATACGAGAAGTATGACAAAGCATCCGAAGAATGTTCAATAAATCAGTACAAATTATAGATTGATTCCTAATAAGAAAGATTCGGGAAGAACAAGTAAACTATCAGAGCGTATAGCAAAGATGCAGGAAAATAATAATATTTTGAAATGGAATTCCACCAACTAACTATTATAGTTGTGCAAACGAGTGGTAAAAAAGTGATGAGCAGGCATCCTTCGGTGAATGCCAAAAATTTGAGTATGAAACAGAGCTTGAATAAATCATCCCATCCAAGTTTGCATCCTCGACCTGCAGATGATATCCACGTTTGAATCATTTCATGAAACCTTTTCATCTCTCTAATCTTAAAACATAAACGATCATCTATTACAATGCAATGCAAATTCATGAAGTACTGTAGGTTGTGTTCTGGAGAGAGATAATCAGAATGATTGGACTGATTTTTAAATACTAAACAAAATAATTTAATGATTATTACTACGAAGTTCTCGCGAATTTTAATAAAATAGATTAGGTAATTCCTATATTTTTATGAAACTGATCAAATACTCCTATATTTAACAAGCAAATGTTAAGATGTTACAATTTTCGATATATAAATCATCAGAAATTGATGTGTTTCCTCTATCCACTGTTGTTAATTAAGAGTGAGGAAAAAGATACCGCACCAGCGAAATGTTGCAATGATTCTGTAGGCTCGTTGCATACCCAACAAAATCGTTGCTTGCATCTTATATTAACACACTGTACAAAGTTACAACCATCGTATTCTGTGTAAAGCGCCTGTAATTATCAGCACAACTATTGTTATTATTAATTACTACAATCATCCAAATGCGCATTATAGTGATCGGATTGATTACTCATTCCTGTGTTTCATCTTTGAATATGATCTTCTAGTATCAGTCATGAAATGATTCCCTCTAATTCATTTGCTAATCAATTCTTTTTTCTAATAAATTCATCAGAAAGAAATTTATCTAAGAAATTATCCCAGAAAGAAATTTGTCCTCTTCATTCTTTTAAATCCTACACTGTTTAAATGCTAACAATTTTGTTACCTGATGCAAAAACAAGTTTCACTTTCATTTGCAGGATTTTGACTTGGAAAGTATATCAATGTTTGATTTACTTAAACTACACATATAAATTATTCTAACCTTACAAAGTGGACATCTTTGTATCATTCCTCCAAATGCATAATAGATGCTATGTTTTCGATGCTCATGTAATAGATACTCGCGTTTTGATCTTTTCATAAAAATCTCCAAATCATTATTATCAGGATCAAAAACAGCGTCGATATCATTTTCATGAATGCGCTTCGGACATGTTCTCTTTGCGCATTTAATTCGTGCTTTGTTTTCTTCTTCAATCCAATACTACAAAATTTTCATGAGGAGTTTAATTTTTGTAATGAAGCTAATTTTAATTGCTAGAAACTTTTCCTTTATGGGCCGCTATTTTTTGCTCATATTCAACCATTAACAGAATAGCACTATGGTTTAGTTTGGATCACTTAAAGATTATTAAAAGTTAAATCACATTTTGTTTCGATGCAGTTTAATTTAGCTTAATTGAATAAAATTTGATTTGTATGAATTTAATTCATGCGTAACATACGCATGTTTTAATTCCTTTCCAGTTATTAAACACTTATTCAATTTCGTTATTCAAATTTATTAATTTTAATTCCCAAAATCTGCTTTATTTTCAACATGAAAGAATTCAAATTTTCTTCATAGCTGTATAATTTAACGATGATATCCCGGAAAATATCAGACAGAGTCACCTTGAGATGTTCGAGAATACATTCAATGCAAACAAAATGTCCACATTGTCTCAGCTTAATTCGCCATACATTAAAATTATTGCATTTGCAGCATCGTAATCCCGTGGGACTATTCTCTTTGCTATAATTTCATAATTGATAAGTACAGAAGATGAATTTCACTAATTGTTGCAAAAGAAATTAAGTTGTAATAGGAAGAAATTAAACAGTAAGGCTGGATTTATTGAAAGTCGGCATAAGCTTAAAGCATAATTGAATGATAGTAATAAGGTTGAAGTGGGAACACCCACAATTGATTTTACGGTTATTGAAACAGTTATTCTCATCCTTTTCTAACCAATTTTCAAAAAATATCGTTATCAAAGACAATTAAGCTATTGTTTTGTTTTTATTACCAATTACTGGGGAGATATAATGGCAGATTGTGTGAGTCTATTCCGTGAACTCTTTCAAACATTACCTTTCTCTATTTTTCTCTTTGTATTCTTCCGTTTGAATCCGCTTTTTCGCCATATAAGTCCGGCTGAAAATTTTCTTATTACTATTTAATAAAAAGTTGATGAAATATAAAACTAATTGATTGCCGGTTAGTGCTGCACAACTGATAAATAAATCTAGCATTCAATAAATAATTTCTTATTCTTTATCAATTTAAAGTTTAAAATTATTAAGTATTTGACAAATATTCGTCATATTTAAATTAATGAAAAATTCGGCTAGCAACTAATGTAAAGGAGGAGAGAATGTGAACGACCTGTCGTAATCCTTGCGATCTCTGAATGAAGTAATACTCTTTGAAACCATTTCATTTTATGTGGGAAAGGATTGAAACAAACTTTCAACCATTCTCTTTCCACCTCAAACATTTATTGTTCATCGAACAACATGTATTGGATTTAATATAGTATAGGGTCAAGTTTAAGTCTAAGTTCAAGATGAAGTTTACACTTATTCCCTAAACAAACAATAATGCTAACTTGTTTGCTTTGTGCTCATTTGGTTGCTGGCACAACAAAACGGCGTTATCGTCTATAATATCCTCTTCACTTTACTCTTCTTTTTCCTTAATTCATCATTTCTTCCTTTAAAATTATATAAATATGTATAAAAGAGATTTATCAAAAATATGTATTCATTACTGGCATTACTGCTCCATTCTGAATACCTCGGATGGGAATGAAATCTCTCCCGGAAGCCCAAAGAAAATACAATTCCAAAATTAAAATTCCTGCGCCTGCTTCAGGATGTTAGAATTTAGGTCAAGCGGTGTTGTAGAGGATGACCTTTAGAGTGTGCTTTTCTGGAAAAAAATTTCAATTAAATTTCGAATTATGTCACCCGTTTCAAAGAAGTTTACCTCTCATGAAAGCAAATATCGAAAATATCATTTCATCATCATACAACATACATCCAACATGGTTATCTGCACGAATTCGTCACTATCTCTGGCGCAATTGTCATCTAGTATTATTAATTCGATCATTTTCGCTATCTTTTGCAAATATATGCAGTGAGTATTATTCATTATTATTCATTTCTCTTCAGTCACAAATGACCTGATTTCTCGTATTTATCATTAGACCTCATTAAACATATCTCTTTTATTTCGACTATGCACTGTCTGTGAATCTTATCAATCTCCGCTGTCTCTTCTTCTGCTGCACTCTTTTTATCGTTGTATTTGTGTAGAGAATGTTTCGTAAGGAGGACTAATGACATTGTGACACTATGACAGGACAACTAATTGGGAAAGGTAATTGAGTCAAACAAGTGGAAGGTTTATGAGAGTAGCAACTGTTCAGTATTTTCATACTTCAATTTTTAGTTCTTCTTGTGAATTTCTGATAAAGCTGTCAGTTTGGTGCTTTGTGTTGAGCTTATAAAATTAAATCTCTTTAATCACTCACATTTACTACGATATACATTTCATCCCACAAAAAATTGCAATATTACGAAGTGTTATTTTTCACGTTTTTTTGTCATTTATGATCATATGTTTAATATGATTTGGTTACTTTCCAATAGTAGCGTATTGAATGCACCACGGTAGAACGGAACACGTTACGGTGGAGCAAGTTGCACGATTTTTTGGTATATAACATGGAAAGTCAAAAAACCGTAATTTCATAGTAATCAAGTAATCTTGCTGAGGTAAGTAATAAAATAGTACTTGCTTTCGTCCTTCAATCGCTCAAATATAGATTGTTTGTTATTACAGGTTATGCTATTAAGGATAACAATTCTATTATATCTATTTGAATGTGTACCTGCGGAAGAGAAAGGAAGCGAATTTGAACAAGATGATGGCATTTTTGTACTGAATGAGGAAAATTTCATGTCTTTCCTTCAGCAACATCCAACATCACTAGTTAAATTTTATGCTCCATGGTAAAGTTTTGACTCTTTCTTACTTTCCTAGAGGTTTATAGTTGCTTTATAAGTGATAAATATTGTATATTATGCTTGTCATACGTTCTATGTGTCATAGTATAGTCATTGTAAGAAAAAAAAATGAATCGTTTTATAGTGAGATATGACTATCGTAGCATTTTTCATTTTTTTCACATGAACTTTCATTCTTGAAAAGATTTTCAAGGTTCTATTTTATTGCAGGTGTGGTCACTGCAAAGCACTGGCGCCAGAATATGCAAAAGCTGCGAAGAAATTGAAGATACCTTTAGCTAAAGTAGATGCAACCGTCGAGAAAAAACTTGCAGAGGCGTAAAATTAAATTTCATTTATATTTTTAAGACTGTTATTTTTAAAGACTATCTATATAGCATAATTAAATATTCATTATGTGTTTGATCCGGTTATTTAAGTATCATAGGCTCCATGCTTCAGATATATTTCCACAACGATGAAAAGCATTGTTCTATCAAATAACAACAAGTAGTGCTTTCAACAGACAAACCATACAAATACAAAAGAACATAAAAATACAAAGAGCATCAAAATAAATTCTTGGATATGCGTAACGTTATTTCAGTTATAACATACAAGGATTTCCAACACTAAAATTTTGGCAAAATGGTGAAGATCCAATCGATTATGATGGTGGACGAGAATCTGACGGTCGCATTTTGAAATTTATGCTATGATGCTTTTTTAAACACTTAAACCGACTTTATAGATGAGATTTGAAATTTTTTTATAATTGATTTTCAAATAACTCAAGCTCATTTCAGATATTGTACAATGGGTTTCGGAGAAAACAGATCCTACTTATAAGCCACCTCCATCATCTGTTACAAAGCTAACGAAAGAAGAATTTACTGAATTTATCACCACACATCGACTCACTTTAGTTAAATTCTATGCGCCATGGTGTGGTCATTGTAAGAAACTCGCACCTGAATATGAAAAAGCTGCAAAAAAACTTAAAGTACGTTTGAATTACTTTAGGTCGCTTCTTCAACAGAAAAAAGGATATATTATGATGATTCCTTAGATCTGAATCGAAGTGGATTGAGTGGAGAGGTTGCAAAACAAGAAGGTATTTCAATTTTTTTTTCAGGGTTCAGATATAATTCTTGCAGAAGTGGATTCTACAGTTGAGAAGAGTTTAACTGCAGAATTTGATGTTAGTGGCTACCCAACACTATACATCTTCCGAAATGGAAAGAAGTTTGATTACAAAGGACCCCGTGATGCAGAAGGTATATTTCTGTTAAAGGGTTGGAATTGAAATATTTCTTTCTTTCTTGTGCATAACTGCTGCATCATGTTTGCGTGCAATGAATCAAATTTTTTTTCAAACTCATAACCTTTATTTTAGGTATTGTGAAATATATGCTTGAACAAGCTGAACCTGCTTTAAAGGAAATTACCAGTGTCAAGGAGGCTCAGAATTTTATGCGCAAAGACGATGTAACAATCGTTGGCTTTTTTAGTGATGGAAAGGCAGAGCTACTGGATTCTTTAAATGACGCAGGTCAGCTTCTTGTGACTGATGGAGAACTTTATTCTGCTTTTGTTATCATCAGTTACCTATATCACCAAACTGCATCCACTGCAGGATGAAGATGGCAGTATGATTTCTCTGCAGTTATGGATTTTCCTTCTGTTCCTGCGGAAATTTTTATGAAAAAACAGTTTTTGGATTTCTCAAAGTAGTGAAATATATTGCTTGCATGAAAATATTATTTTCTCCGCTAATTTTTCAACATTCTTATATTAATTCAAGTCAGGATTCGCAATTTGAATAACATCTTGCAGATTCTCCTTCTTTTCAGCTGAATTGTTGCGAGATGACTTCACTATTGCTGTATGTTCGGAATTAGATGTCAAAAAACATTTTAAAATTGATTCTGATCGAATTGTTATTTTTTACCCTGAGATATACTGGAGCAAATACGAACCGAAGCACATTGTTTATGGAAAGGTATACGTTTTCAATTATCTTCCTCCAGTGGAAGAAATAATTGCTTACTAAGAAAATCGATTTATCCTATTCTAGTAATTTGCAAGCATGTCGGTGACATTACATTTTCGATACTAGATGGTGAAATTAATTTTAAAATGTTTGGCATCATAGTCTAGATATTTTGCAGGAAATCGGTACTGTGGAGGACTTGGTGACATTCTTTCAAGAAAATTCGACACCTCTTGTGGGTCACAGGACAAAAAAAAATGTTGCCACTAGATACACTCAATTCCCTCTCGTTGTAGTTTATTACAATGTTGATTTTTCAATAGAATATCGTGAAGGAACACAGTATTGGCGAAAAAAGGTTGAATTATATCCCTATCGATTTTGACATTTTTTGAAATTTGGTTAAAATTTTGATCTTTTTTGAATTTTGAATCACATGCTAATGAATTAATTTTTTCGTGATTGATGAACTCTGGGAGATTCAAGTTTAATACATTTTTGATTTTAATTTATAATCCATCAGCATTGTTAAAAGTCATTTGGTAACGAATAAGTGTGAGATATCAAGCTATTTCTCGAATTTAATACGCGGTATAGGTCCTATTTAACTGTTCTCTTTTTTCATTGGAAGGTGCATTCCACCCCGTAAAAACAAATGGAATTTTCCGTAATACCTTTTTTGATCGGTATTTTGCTACGGTAGGCAAAAAAAGTCATTTTGAAGTTCATTTTCGATGTTTATTACTTCCAAGTTAATTCAAATGATATTCTGTCTACTAAGGCATTTCATACTTTTGGAGCCAGTGTAGTTTTTCGGAATAATAATACTTTAATTTGGCGATCAGTTGGTTATTTCTTCCATTACATTTTAAGGTAAGAAAATTTTTTCTGTCAAAATGTTGTATATTACTTTTTGAATTACATTTGTAGGTGTTAGAAATTGCGAGTCAATACAGGAAGGATAACTATTATTTTGCAATTTCAGACGAAGATGAATTTGCAGATGAGCTTACAGCGGTTTGTTTATCATCATTTCTCTATATTTCAGTTCAATAAATCATTGAAAAATGACGGTTTTAGTGACCTTACATTTATGACACTTGCGGCTTACTTAAACGATTCAGAAATTTGTCCAGTTTAAGAACATCACGCATTTCATGTATTTCAGGTAGGATTGGGTGACAGTGGACTTGAACATAACGTTTTAGTCTTCGGTTACGACGGTAAAAAGTATCCAATGCGTCCAGATGAATTCGATGATGAATTAGCTGAGAATTTACCAGCTTTCATGAAAAAATTATCGTCAGGTATAAAATTCTAAAAACTCACTGTTTCACAATTATTTACAGATAATTAATTATTCATCGTGTCTCCTTTGATGAAGATTGTTTTTTTTCATTGAAAGATATTGAAAGATGTTAAGTGTTGTGCCTTGCACTTAATTTGTTTTTTATTGCTTTTTTAAAGGCAAAATAAAACCGTTTGTGAAATCTGCACCATTGCCGAAAGAAGAGAAGGGTCCAGTGAAAACTGTGGCTGCATCAAATTTCGCGCAGGTCGTGTTTGATGAAACGAAGGATGTACTGGTGGAATTTTATGCACCATGGTGCGGGCATTGCAAGGTACATTTGCAATTTTCTTGATTTTATTTTGGTTGAGTCACAGCCTTAGTAAAAGCCTGAATTGGAAATTAAAAATTCGAGACACGTTGAATCGTATCAACTTTTGAAGTAGATAATAACAGAAAATACGATAAATATTGCTCTAATGTTTTCAAGTTTAGGCATTTGAGCCAAAATACAAGGAATTAGCAGTGAAAATGAAAAAGGAACCAAATTTGTTACTTGCAAAAATGGATGTAACAGCCAATGATATTCCCAAGAATTATGATGTGAGCGGTTTTCCAACAATTTATTTTGCACCAGCTGGTAAGAAGGAAGAACCGATCAAATACGAAGGAAATCGTGATTTAAATGACCTCATCGATTTCATGAAAAAGCATGCTTCTGTTTCATTTTTGGGCAAGACCGAATTATAGGATTATTGTGAAACTATCTTTGGATTCATGTTAATTATGTAACAACTTTTCATGCTATATATTCAGAAAATTATTTTTCCCGTAATTATGATTTTTCGGAAAATTTTAATGGATGTCTATGTGAATATAAAAGAAGACAAAATTTTTGAGCAAATCGGTACGCAGAAAGAAGAGATTTGGCCGGTTAAAATAAAGTCCCTATATAAGATATGGGACTTTTCTCTCAGATACACCACAGCATTTTCTTGATCTTTTGATTTTCTTAATCTATTATCTCCTTTTTTCTGTTATTTTTCTCCTTTTATGCATTATAAACAACTGTTATTATTTATTAAGTCTCTTGCAGTTTCATTTCGTCTTCGATTTTTCTCTGATTTCTGTAGTCCTTTCTACTAAAAAGTTTGAGCGTCTCAAAAAGACTTTCAGAATGTATCGTAATGTGCCGCTGTTCCCTGTTCCTTTTCATTTCTAGATAAAGGCAGGGTTTATATTTCTCGAAATATTTTATTGATTTTTTCTTCTAAAATTATTCGTCGATGACAGCAGCCTTTTCATCATGCATTTATTAATTGCGCCTTACCACTCCTGTAAAATTTTGCACTTTCATTTCCAAGACAGTTTTTTCCTAAATTTGGAAGTATTTGATATGAGCATTAATTGTGAATTTAATTCATCAATGGATGTCGTGGGCATTTGTATTGGATCATGGACACTAATTGACTAATGACTACGAATTTTTAAATGATCCTTTCCTTCAGTTTCAAAATTATGATTAAGGCTGTAAATACTCGTTAGGAATGATACTGTTACATTTTGTGCATAATGTTCAAGCATTTGTTGTTTCTGTTTATTCCTTCTTACAATAAATAATATATCATATCAATGGTGCATAAAACACTAAGTGATTATCAATAATTTGTCACAAATTTTGCGCTTTAAAGAATATTGAAGTTCAGTATATCAGACGGAAGATAGAAGCCGCGTAAAGCTGTCTCAGGCTGGAAAATGAATTGGAATACTTAAGGAGTGATTCTTGAACTGTTAGCTGCAATGCTATTTGATTATTCATCTTGCTTTTTTCATTGGCGATATGTTTTTCCATCGAAGATAATTGTTGAGTTAATTGAAATGAAAAATGCGGAATTGATTGGGTGATATGACTTTAGCGCTTGAAATACTTTCAATGATTATAAGCGCACGCAACAAATTTTTTGCTGGAAGTAGTATTATACTGATTAGTTGATTATTTCAAGAGTAATAGACAAAGGAATAGACAGGTCACCTGACAGCTGTCTGCTAGCTTTTTTTGTTTGTTCACTTCCTGACTAATTACATCATAGAGGAGAGAAACCTCAATTAATTTCATTCAAAACACGTCATTTTACATTTTATCAGGTGATATTGCCAATTTTAATAGGGAGAAGTATTGAAATTTATCATGGACATGAAATCTTATACAGTTAAGTAAATAGTGATAGTTGAAAATTCCGGAAATGATTTTTCCCAGAAGAATTTTAGACTGATCCAAAGTTGCAAAATTATAAATGCTGCATTATTACTAACGATTAAATCATTGAATGGAAAGAAAGAAAGAATGGATGAGTGAATAATGAAAGTTAGAAGACTGAGAATAAAGGTCAAATTGCTGTTTGCCAAAGCTTGTCCAACAACACAGATGAGAGCACTTAAAATGAAAATGTTAAACTCAAATCAAATTTCATTCCTACCATTCCTCTCTTCCTCTTCCTTCTCATTTTACTTAAGATAAACAATAAATATATTCCATCAATAGTATATTTTTCACATATTTTAAATGTATTTTAGCATTTTGAAAATTTTATTTATTTTATTTATTTATTTGTTTGTTCTATTTATTTGTTTATTTATTTGAAGAAATAATTGGGAAGATTGAATGAATGGATTGAAATTGAGCCATCCGTTTTTACCTATTTCTCTTTTTCTTTTCCTCTCTCTCTCTCTTTTTCTCTCTTTATTAGAGCTCAATTTTTCCTTCTAAAAATGAATTCGTTTATTTTTCACAAAATATATGACATCATTTTTCACTCAATTCATTTATTTTTATATTATTAATTATTGATTAAAGATTTATTGGAATTTAAGAAAATTTTATAAATGTATTTTTTGGCGCTTTAATCGATCATATTTGATAGATATTTTAATTCTGATTAAATCAGTTATCGATCGATCGATCGATTCAACTTTTCTTCATCTTAATTTTTGTTGTTGTTTTTTTTTTGAGACAATAATAAAAGATATAAGTGAATGATTCTGTCATTTTCATTGGAAGAACTGTGGAAGTGTAGCTGAAGTTTGTGCTATTAGATTGGGAGCAAATGTTTGCTACATTTCACTTTTTAACTCTTTACTCTTCTTTTTCCTGACAGGTCGTAGCTGGCACTCTAACTAATTCCACCAACATACTCTTTCAATTCTGATTGCATTATCAATAGCCAATCAAAGATTTCATTAGTCATTCTGATATGACATATAACATTTCAATTTCTTCCATTGTTTATCTTATCAGCCTATCATCTTTTATATTTATTTTCAATTCATTCTTTGATAATAAGCGTAATTTATTGAATATACTATATTGTTAAATGAGAGGAAACCTTAAAAAACAACAAAATCGCTATGTTTTAATTTTAAGAATTTTAATAATGTATTAATTTCACTGGTCATCAATTATATGAAGCCATGCAATCTATGAATATTGATAATGCCTCGATGACAGCGTTATGACAGCTATATCCATGAATTCGTTTTTAAAATAATGTGTAATTTCTAAAAAGGTTAACTAGTACCATTGTTAAACATTAATTTTTACTTGTCTGAATCATAAATATATTTTCGACGTTATGTATGTGAAATCCTTTAACACTTCTCAGAAACCATTTTACTTCTTATTTTTATTCTGCGTTTAATTCTATTTTTTTAACATGAAATCCAAATCTATTTCAGAAATTAAGATATGGAAGAAAAGATAGTGGAATTAACGCATAATTGGAGTGCCCAGCAATGGGATTGGCCTTTACAACACAACGATGAAGTGATAAAAGTGACCAATACGAATGATAAGTTCGAAGTTGGTTTGGATGCATCATTTTTTTCACCGAAGGAAATCGAGGTTTAAATTAAATAATTTATTTATGATTTATACTTTAGACAAGCTTTTTATAAAGGGGTAATTTGATGATTAATAATGCTTCATACGATTCATAATAATTATCAACAAAAATAAGCGATCTGTGGACATTTGAGAGAAAGAAAGGAAAGATATGTGAAAGATAATTTCAGAAATGAAAGAAAAGAAATTTAAAAAGAAAAGAGAATTGATTATAAATGAGAAAGGAAAAGTGAAAAAAAGTTTTCGTATTTTTACTCTTTTTTGATAAAATTTTTCAAATCATTATCTTATATCAATGTAACATAACTAGGGAATTCCGAGTAAATTTGGGAATGAAGTTTCTCCTTCATTTATTTTATTGTCTTATATAAATATTTCTTTTCATTACTTTAATTGTTTCAAATCTATTTGCAGACATTTTGCATACTCATTTATTTCTTTGATTAATAATAACTTGTTATTGTGAGTATATTGAAAAGCTTTCCAACGTATAGAGGAAGTAAGTGATGAAGTTTTCAGTATTCTTTTTCATCGAGCGGTGATAATCAACGATTGCCGAGATTTAATTTGTACTCTTACATGAGATTTAAATTCTAGGTGAAAGTTGCTGGCGATAATTTGGTCATTCACTGCAGACATGAGTCACGTGCCGATCAATTTGGTGAAATTAAACGTGAAATTAATCGTACCTATAAGCTTCCATCGGATGTAGACACGAAAACCTTGACATCAAACTTGACCAAACGAGGACATCTGGTCATTGCTGCCAAAAAGAAGGCATGATTTTTTAAAACTTTTCACACTGTCACGACTTAAGTTTACCTAATAAATTTTTGCTAAATTATGAATTTTCTATCTTTTCATCATTATCATTTCTTTAGCATTACTGCGTCTTGTTTATTAATTCCTTTAATTAATTTGTTTGAGTAATAACTGTTATTAGTACTTCCAAATTAAATTATTTTCCATCGAGAAAAACCATTAGTGTTATCTTGATGAATTGGGAATTTTGAGATAGTACTATTTAATCAAAACAAGATTGACTTCATTGTCAGTGATCTAGTTTTCAGATGCTCACACCACAGTAATTTCTATTCTTTAGAAAAAAGGCTTTAGCGAAATGCCAGATACACTAAACCCCCATTTCATAGCCAGTGCTTGGTTTTTTCACAGAATAATACGATCACCGTTCCATAAGCCCAAATTAAACTTTGAACTTTGACCTTTCCACTTGTCACAATGATCTCGAAAGCTATACCTCATTGCGATTTTTTGACGGCTTTTATGGTTAATATGAAATTTTGTTCTTTTAGTTGAAGTTACAATAAATATATCAAACAACAATACCATCCCTTATATACTGGTGAATTTATAATCCGAATGGATATATTATGATGAAAGCACTTCAGCTAATTAGCATAACCGAATGAATCGATAATGTTACAAACCATTCTATTATTTCCAGCCAACGTAATTTAATTAGACAAGCTGTCATATGATGTAATATATTATCATCATATTGGAAAAGCAATTTGAAACTTTTTGAAAATATTGACAAATTTAAACAATGAAAAATGGATAGAAGATTTCTAACGTCTAAAATAAACAAATGGAACGATGTTTGAAGGATTGATGGAAGTGTAGAAAGGTGCTTCAGATCAATTAGACTGATCATATCAAATTGTATAGGATGTTATAAAAGCTATGAAGAAAGAGCAAAAATAAGCGGATGTTTTTTGATTAGCAAAATTTTGATAACGAAAAATTGAAGAATCCTTTCTTCTTTTTAGATGAAATTTTGATAATTTTACTGAAAGAAATATCAATTGATGATAAAGAGAGGGAGATAAATAATCACTTAATCTTATCCTTAATAATAGTGATAATGATGCAGCAAAATTACCCTCTTCACATTTTCTTAATCTAGGATAAACGAGATGTTTGAGTTAAAAGAATTATATCAGATGAAGAAAAGGATGAATGAGTAAAAAATTAGTGTTTTACAAATTCTTCATTCTCATATTTATTGATTATTTTATGCAAATTAAGTCATAAAATGGCTCCGGATAATGAATGATATGAATTAAGTGGACAGATATTTTTTCGTACAAAAAATCTTTTGAAAAATTCTGAAATTACAATTCAGAATCATCGAATAAATTTTTTACAAAATATCAATTAAAATGAAGATGAAAAGTTCAACAAAATAATAGAAGTAAGCAATAGCAACTACTAATAAGACTGTACCATTTTGATGAAGAAATTTGGCAGATCAATGAAAGACAAATTGAGATCGTAGAAGTTTGTTCATTTATTTATATACAGCAATGAATAACGATAAGGTTAATTTCTGGAAAGATGAAAGATAAGATGTAGCCAAGAAATATGAAATATTAAAATGATTAATTTGAGTTCAAGCGAAATGTCATTGAAACAACTGGTAATAAAGGAATGGATGAAGTCCCCCTCATTGAAATAATTCAATTAAAAATAACCATTAATTAAGTTCGAGTTAAAGCAAAATAATATTTTCAAATCGAAATTCGAATATGAGCAAATTATCATTACTTCTTCACTTAAACAATATGATTAGAATGTTTCAAATCGATGACAAAGTGATGCTACATTTCGGATTCGATTTGCTTCTCTGCAAGCTTTTCGAATTTCTTTATTGATTGAATTCGGGCCACAACTGAATACGCCAATTTCTTGAACCTAAAAAAAATTTTAAGTTTAGACTTGAAAAAAATGCAAATTAAAACTGACTTGACTTAAATTTGACCTCTGCCCTTCTCACATTCCATGATAACTAATCGTTTCAAATTAATATCTATCCAATTACAGATCGATTTCAATAAAATATATTATATAACATATTAGAAAAAGCTTACATTTCTATGCTTATTTTGTATGAACTTGAAGATTGCATCAAAATTTGGACGGCCGAAATGATTTACAGCATTAAGGCCTGTAAACATACTTCGACCATTGCTATCATTTCGAAAATGCTTTTCGCAAATATACTGAAATTAAACATTATCAACAAAGTTGTAGATCAAACAAACGAATATTTTAAATTTTGAAAAATCATGAAAATAATTTTTGTATATTTTTTCGCTTTGGAATTATTCAAAAAAAAAAGTCAATTATCATACAAGCATGGTAGTTCGAAGGTCAAATTTATGAAAGAATTGTGTGACAAAAATATGCATTTCCAGCAAATCTTCTTTGTCTAATTCTTCCACATTATGTAAAACTTCAATGAACCATTCGTAATTCTTATGTGTTGAGCATACCCAAATGAAATAAACCTAAAATATTACATCTTTCAACTGTAAGCAATTTATCTTTACTTGAGCTAAGTTGACAAAGTTAGGTAATAAATACTTTCATCATTAATCATTATATTAGTTTGGAAAGTAGGAAAAATGGTCATTATGATATACCAAATATACTTACTATACTTCTTAATTTTCTATTACAAATAAATTTTCTCCAAAGAATTCATTTCTGAGAAAATTTAGAATTATTTAAGTTCTTCTCACCGCGCTTTATCAAAAATATTTTTACTCATTCGTTCATTTTTTTAAGATTAAAATTAATAATTTCGTAAGACATATAAATGAGATTCAACGAAGGAATAAACCTTTTCACATTTAATATTTGTATGTTGACCGGACATTTTTTCGATGACAAGATCAGTGAGTATTGAAGCATACGGAGTTACACCAATACCGCCACCTATCAACACAGCAACTTCGAAATTACGCCAATCCTAAAATAAAATAGTATCATACCATACATGACTTTACTGTAATTTACAGTATGCTACTTCATCTTACTTTATTAAATAAAGATTGCTAAAATGAAGTTAGTAATTTCATTTTATAACAAATTTAATATTGCTATCTTCTAAGACATACTTGATTGCCATCACCGTATGGCCCATGTAAATGAAGTACTGGATAGGGCGTTCCGTTCGAATGTGCGCATGCGATCTGATTTCGTAAATTCCAAGTCCATGGGCCAACCGCTTTGATGTACAGTTCAAGAGTTGATGCTTGCGGTGCAGAAGCTAAGGAGAATGCATGAAGTTCATTAAATGTACATGAAAATGCTGGACATGAGATACGCACCCATTGACCAGAACGAAATCGGAATGAATTTGGTCTCTTGAATTGAATATAGATAATATCTGCAAAATATATACTATTTGATCGAATTTTAAACTTAAAATGTTGACTAAATTAAAAGTTACATAAAGAAAAGTATGCGATATGAAAATTAGACAATCTGTGATGAATGAAATTTAATGAATTTTCGGCTTTCAAAAGTAATCTAATATCTCTTATCATTTATTCTATAGTTCAAATCATAATCATTTCATATTTTTAAATTTACAGCTAATATTGATATTATTATCAATGTTCATTTTGGAATTCTACTGTGTGAATCTATTTCTCCCAGCTTTATCAATTAATCTCTTCTAGTCTTACTGATTGTACTTATTATTACGGAGATATTAACTTTGTATTATATTATATTAATTAATATATTATATTAATAACAACACACCACACACCAACACCTTAGTGTTGTAATTTTACTTAGTAAGATAAAAGGCTCAACTTGAATAGAACCTATAAATTATTTTTCCAAGCTATTTTCAACTTATTCAAAATTAATTTACTCATAAGTTGCACAGTTTAAATTTAATTGATGTCTTTTGTATTATTTTACAAGGAAAAGCTAAAATGAAATAGACAGAGAGTTTAAAAAATCAGCGTAAAGATCACCAAATATTACCAATAAAATTACCAATATTACCAACAATTACCAACAAATATTACCAACAAAACTTAATTCATCTCTTTCTTTCATCAACTCAATGTCTATTAAATTTGCAAACTTTCTGAAACGAACCTGATGGAAGTATTGCGCCGCTTAGAATTTGTAACCTTTTGTACTGTTGTCGCATACCAATGATACGATCAATTATAAATAGAGCAATAGGACCGGCTACATAATATAGAAATTTGGGACTCTGAAATTAAAATTTATTAAAACTTTGGAAAATATTTTTAGCAGATTAAATCGAAATATTAAAAGTGATTCCACTTTGCAGAGTTTTACAGATAGAAATGAAATATGAAAATTGTAGGAAACGGAAGAAGTTTAAATATAGGCCTAATGATAATAACAAGCATTTGACAGATGTTTAAACAGTTGTAATACCAACCGTCTTTCCACCTGATTAAGTCAATTGTTGAATGACTTTAGCAACTCAGTGTACGATGTACTTTCCATACTACTTGAAAAATTATTCGAAAACATTTTACAACTTAAAAAATATTTTAATTCCAAACTGACATCCAAAAGTTTTGGAAGCCCATGCAATACAGTGAGTGCATAAATTAGAATATTGAGAAGATGAGTGATTTTAAAAGCATGATATGCTTCCTTCATGACAGCTGGTGTTGAAAACACATAAGTGATACTCATAAGAGCTACTAATAGAAGTCCTGTTATTCCAGTTATGGTACCATATAACCAGTAACTGATTGAGGGTAAGAAATTTGAACTGAAATTAACTTTTAAAACTTAAAAAATTTTCTAATATTAAAAAAGTCTTTCATTTCAAAGTTATCATTTCTTTAGAGCTAAACGAATTATTCAAACAAATTTCACATCCCATATAAAAAACTACAAATTAACTCAAAAAGAATTTACCCAAAAACAGCTTCCTGAAAGAGGCATTGTAAGCCATCTTGACTTTGTGTTGC